TAATATTTATAGATTATAGATTAATATATCGAAAATACTACTAGAAATACGATATACGGCGTCGTAGCCGAGTAGTAACGACGTCGCTACCGCCTATAATTACAAAGAAAAATTCTAACGGTAGTCTTAAACCAAAAAAGAGTGCTCCTAGTAGGATTCGAACTCTCTTTTTTTTTAACTATTATAGTAGCCGATACGTGATCCGGATCCGATCCGGATCCGATCCGGATCTGAGAAAATCAACAGATTAAGCCTCCGACCTAATAATCGACCTAGGATCGACCTAAGGATCAGACCTAGTTTAGTAACTAGGTCCGAACTAGGTCCGAACTAGATCTAATCCTAGATCGATCCTAGATTAAGCCCTTATAGAAGGCTAGTACTATATTGCTAGAATTCAAAAAAGAAATATTCTAATAGTAGTCTTAAGTAGTACTTAGAACGAAGTACTTAGGTACATACTATAGTAGTCCGATACGTGATCTAGATCTAATCCGGATCCGAGATAATTAATACATTAAGCCTCCGATCTAGGATCCGATCTAGTTCAGGAACCTAGTCTGAACCAGGTCCGAACTAGATCGGATTCTAGATCGATCCTAGATTAAGCCCTTATAGCACTATACCGATATAGTACTATGTACTTAGTATTAACACTATATATATTAACACGGTTTCGACACGGTTTCGAAACCGTTTAATATCCGATACGATTCTACTATAGTTCGAAACCTGTTCGAAACCGGTTCGAATCCGTTTACGGATTTAGGCGTATTAAGACTGTACTAGCTCTATTTACTTAGATTCTAAGTTTCGATTATATCTATAAGTTTAAGTATATCTAATACTATATAAGTACTATATATATATATATATACCCTCCTATAAAGGATTAATCCTATATCGATCCTATATCGACGCTATATTAACCCTACTCTAATCCTAATCCGATCCTACTCGAGAATTACTATAGGATTACTTATAAGCTAAATAATGTATCGTAGATCACGAGAGGATCGCTATAGATATAGCTATAGAGATCGCTATAGGCTAATTAGCGTATTGAGAATCACTTCTTAACTTAATTTTTTTAATTTTTTTAATTTTTAAATATATATATTACGTAGTATTTATAAATTAAAAACTATTTTAAATAGTATCGTAGTCGAGTAGTAACGACGTCGCTATCGCCTATAATTTAAAAAAGAAAAAATTCTAGTAACGGTAGTCTTAAAATAAAAAAGAGAAAAAAAGTGCTCCTAGTAGATTTCGAATACTCTTTTTTTTTAAACTACTAGTATTATAGTAGCTGATACGTGATCCGGATCTAATCCGGATCTAAGAAAATCAACAGATTAAGCCTCCGATATAGGATCCGATCCGGTTCAGACCTAGTTCGGATCTAACTAGACCTAGTTACTAAACTAGGTTCGAACTAGATCTAATCCTACATAGGTGCCCACCCCCCCCTGACTCGATATAGTATCAACACCGTATTAAGACGGTTTCGAAACCGATTCGGAATCGATTCGAAACTAGTTCGGGACTATTTATGGGCTTAAGCGTATCGAAACCGTGTTAACTCTATTTACTTAGATTCTACTAGTTCGAGTATATCTACTATGTACCTGCCTTCTTAATTATTATCTAACTACGCGAATTCTACGCGTATATTTCCTGCGTGCTGTATAGGTATCGAGCCTCCTGTTGATCGTTCTACTACTCGTGTATCTTCTCGAGCGTCCTGCCGAGCGTCCTGTCGAGCGTCCTGTTGAGCGTCCTGTTGAGCGTCCCGTCGAGCGTCCTGTTGAGCGTCCTATTGAGTGTCCCGTCGAGCGTCCTATTGAGCCTCCCGTCGAGCGTCCTGTTGAGCGTCCTGTTGCTCGTCCTATCGAGAGTCCTGTTGATCGTCCTGCTACGCGTGCACCTCCTCGAACGCACTGCCGAACGCGGACGCACTATTGAACGCACTATGTATTGAACGTACTGTTAAGCGAGCGTGCAGTTGAGCGAGTACTGTAGTTGAACGTACTGTTGAACGCACTGTTGAACGCACTGTTGGGCGTGCAGTTGGGCGCGCAGGTAGGCGTGTAATTGGGCGTGCAGTTGGGCGTGCAGTTGGGCGTACAGTTAAGCGTAGACCTTTTTGATTATAGTTCTACTAAAGTAGTGGGCTCATGGTATTTCGCACAACGCCCTGTGTATTTCGCACACCCGCTAAACTGTAAGGGGTAATCTAGGGCCCCATAGGGCGTTTATTAGCCAGTTCGCGTACCCCGTATATATATTTCGCATAAAACTTAGCGCCGCGCTATTATTAGCCGGAGCTTTAAGCCGAACGGCACTAAGCCTAATCGAGCGTAATATTACTAGAAATATTAATAAATAAGCCTAGGCTAATTATAGCGCGCTATTTAGGCTATACGAGTTATACTCGATTCGAAGTCGATTTACGAGCTATTTTAGATATAATAGGGCGTAAAAGTAATATTTTATAGCTATCTAGTATAGTAAGAGCTACTAAATTCTTAGAGTCTTAAGCTTTATACTATATATTTATCTAGTAAACGAGCTCTTATATTAAATAGCTAGTTAAGCCGAAATATACTTATCCTAGGTATTATAGAATCTCTTCCTCTTTCTCGTCCTCTTATAAAGCTATTTATAGAGCCTCCTCTTTCTACGTTAGGTATCGATATAGTCGATTCTCATACTAAGGACGCTAAGCGCTCTCGTCGAGAAGAGGCTTACTAGAATAGCTCGAGAGTAGAAGAAAGTCGCCTACTAGATAGATAAACTAGATTTAAGTATACTTAAGAGTCTAATTTACGCTTAACGTATTTAAAGGATAATAATTCTCGTTAAAAGATATCGTTAAAGCCCCGTAGATAAAGGATAATAATTAGTAGCTATATTACGTTAACGAGATTTATATTATTAACGCTTTCTATTCTATTAAGTCTCTAGTAAAGCGTAAAGTAGTCGAGATTAAGGATTTCGTTCTAGTATAGTAGTTATACTACTAGATAAGAATACGGACCACGGTAGACTATAAATACGCGTAAAAACGCCCGTATAGGCTCGGAAGTTTCTAATCGGCGCCGAGATTAGAGATATCTTATTAACGTCTATTTTAACTATAGTATTACGTATAAGAGAGAGAGCGTAATAGAAAACGTATCTAATAACTTAAGACTATAAACGAGCGCCGAACTAAGAGCGCCGAGTAACTCGATCTATATCTAAGTTATAACGACTTTTAATATAGCTATCTTATATTAATCTCTCGAGAGCGTTAATAATACTAGAGACGTTGAATTACGTCGATTTAAGACGCCTCTTTAGTATATCGTATATTATCTTAAGGCGTAAAGTTACTACGTTATCGAAATATCGAAATCTATTAGTATAGACTTATATAAACTTCTTTTAACGCTAAAACTAGATACTCCTAAGGTAATAAATAAGTAGTCGATCTTTCTTCTTATACTTATTCTTAAGAGTAATCTAATTACGCGTAGTATCTTAAGATATTCTTATAAATATATAGATATACTATAGACTCTAAAATTTAATCTATTTTTCTTATATCTAATCTCTTTTAGTTCTAATTTTAGCGAATATAGTAAAGCGATAATAAAGATCTCGGAAATATCGCTTTATCTATATTTAAACCGCTCTATTAATATACTAAATATATAGAAAATAATAAGACTAAGGATAGATCGACTCGAGCGTAGTAGCGAGAGTATAGTCGTCGTTAATAATTATAATAGAGAGTCTATTTTCGATTCCTATAGCTTAATAAATAAGTATTAACTTTTTAAGTATAAATATAAACGAAATTATCGATTTACGCTTAAGAAAGGCGACGCTAATAAAAAACGATTTATTATTAGCTATTATACTAATAATATTAATAAGCGGTATTCTAAATCGATTTATTTTATAAATTATATCGATTAAAATAACCTTAGGATAATAGCGCTACTAATCGAGTAACTCGTAATAAAATAGAACGAGTCGATATAGTCTTAGTTATTAATCGATATTAATATAAGATATAAATCGATCTTTAACGCCTTCGATAAGCGCCTAAATAGATATTCTATCTATAAGATTTATTAAATTTAGCTTCTTTCTCTCGTTTACTATATTCTATCGAGTTATAGGGATATAAGTATAATATTAGTTTATTATCGATATAGTATTCTATATATTAAAGTCTTTCTCGAAATACGATCGAATTAGTCTATTTAGACTTCTCTAACGAGTTCTTTATCGTATAGAAGAATAAGCTATATTTATATTCGGAAGATAATTATAATCGAGCTTTTTAGGCGTAGATATCTTAATAAAGTATTTACCCTTAGTATTCCTTATTATTATAAGTCTAAACTAATATTCTATTAATAGACTCTTTTTATATCTCTATCGCTCTATCTAATCTAATTTATACGAACTACGACTATCGGCGTAATTATATACTAGATATACGACTTTAATAATATTTATACTATCTCTTTCTCGCCTATATATACGTATATCGTACTCTCGAGGAATAAACTATTTATCGAGCGCCGTAAAATAGTCTTTCTCGCTAGAATACGTAATAGAAGAAGAAGGATCGAATATACGCCGTCTCGTATAATAGGGCGTCGTCTCGAGAAAAGTCTCGAGGGAATCGTCGTCGAATTTATCTTCGTCGATTAAAAATCTAGCGTTATATAGATACGCCTCGAGTACCTTATAGTCGGCTTTATAGTCGTCGGATACGGCCGAGGCTAGCGTTTTAAAGAGAGAGTATTAATTTATAGTATCTATAGCGAAAAAATAGTAGTTTCTATATAATTAGATATCTATAGTTTAGTAATAGGCGGGTAATAATATCTACGGTACTTAACGCGTCTATACGCGTTAATTATACGAAATATATACTTTAAATTACCTAAATTAGTATACGGCGATCTTACCTAAACGTAGTTTAGCGGGTGTGCGAAATACATAGGGTATTGTGCGAAATACCACTACTGCAGCCAAAGTAGTGCTAGTAAACGTAGAAACCGTATCGAGGCTCCAAACTAAGGCTCTCGAGGTTCATAAGGTTCAATACCGTATTAACACCGTATTAAGCCTCGAAATCGATTCTACTACGGTTCGAAACCGGTTCTAATACGGCTCCAAACGTTAATTTTATTACCGATTCAAGTACGGATCGAAACCGGTTTAGACACGGTTCTACTACGGCTCCACTACGGCTCCACTACGGCTCCACTACGGTTCTAACGTGACCGTTTTAAATACTATATTAAAACCATGTTAATACGGTATTAACACCGTGTTGATACCGTGTTGATCTACTCTACTATAGCCTATATAGTAGATCTGATCCCTAGATCGATCCTAGTTTAAGCCTCTATAGAAGGCCTTCGCCCGCATGGGGGTAGGCACTAATACATATAGTTAAGCACTCGACTAGATACTAGTTTATTTATTAAAGGATAGTCGAGAATAGACGTAGATAGCAGATAGATATATAGTATACTTAAGCTAGTAGATATACGTAGTAGTACGATTTTTTAGAAGATCGAAATTTAAGTATCGCGATATATTCTACTACTAACTCTAGTGGAAAATTCTTAGGGTTATGATAACCAATATAATAGGACACAATAACTTCAACGGGCTACTACTATGTTATATACCTAGCCAGGCCACCTAGCATAAGATAATAGAGCAAAGAATCCAAGTCCAACTTGAAACTTGGCGTTCGCAACCTAGTACAGCACATCCAACGTTGTACGTGCCTACTATGTAGCATAGCAGGTGATTTAAATAGTACATGGTACATAGTATGTAGTAGTAGTAGGTAGCTGTACCTAACCTTGGGTACAGTACTATTGTGGCGAGGCCAAATCATAAGATTATGGTCCTACTCACCTGCTACTACTAGTAGGTAAGGCCCCTTACTTAAGCCAAACGGTCTGGCGCCAGCAATGTGCCAGTGCTCGGCCGTAGTACGGATCCGGCAAGGCCGGGAAACCCCAGCGGAGGCTGACGACAACTTGAACTCGCCAGCCTCGCGCTTCTGTACCGGAACAGATATATCGCTGCAGAGACAGCTCACCACCCTGGGCGCCAGGATGCTTCTACGCCATACAATGGGCATCCAATATCCCAAACTTCTATGAAATTTATCCAAGACGAATACGAGGTACACGACCGAGGTCCAACCCTCGCCATCTCATCGCGAACGTCCATCCCGAACCCTCCGCATCTTCGTAGGACCTTTATTACTCCCTTAACGGGTTCCAGCAGTGCAATTTCCCAAGTTCAGGACAACACCCAGTCTCGACCATGGGCTATCTACTTTACTCCGCGTTCTTCATCTCCATCGTCCTTGGTACAGGTACAGTAAAGCCTCCTGTCCCCGCGCGGTTATCATCAATGCCATGCTAAACTGAACTAACCAACTTGCTTTCCGAACCAGCCCTCTATCTAACCCGCTCGCGTTGGATCCCATACCTCCCTGATCGGGTCCAAGAAACCCTCGACTTCAGCTACCGCCGACTCCCCAGCACGTTCATGGGCGACGTGGAATCGGGCTTCACCTCGGCCGACTTCGACCTGTCCGGCAATGTCATGGAAGGCGACTCGCGCAGTGGCCTGGATCAGAAAGCAAAGCGCGATATTCAGCGGTTGATGAAGTTGCGCAAGATCAATTTCGACGAGGCCCGCCGCGTGTATATGGAGCAGAGGTTCAAGAAGAACGGGATCGGGGAGGACGGCGTGCCGCGCGATCCGAAGTTTGTGTCGTTCTCATGAGCATGATATTTTGGTTTGCAGAATGCAGTGCTTCTAGAATCTCATCTGGCTCTCGTGTCTGTGTGTGCCTCAACTTGATTACTATGGGGTATACCATGCAGCGCAGTGTAGGTTGGTTGCCTGGTGCCTGCGTGACCGTGGGGTGCGTTGGGGGCGAACCTCGAGGTGCCCTAACGATTGAGTGAAGGCACCGCAGCTATCTGTTCTATTTTCCGGTTTCTTTCTTTGGCTTTTCGAGCGGTGCGATGGTGCAAGAAAGGCGTTCAATTCAAGGTTTTGAGGTGGCATTGGAGTTTCGCTCACAGGGGACGAGGACCAAGGTGCGGGCTTATATGTAATGAGCAGCAGACATGCTTCTGAGGAACCGTTGGCGCGCTTTCTCTGCAAGCTGATCAAGCAACGTTTCTAATTAAGTCAGAATGGTCGAAGTGCATCGGTCTCAACTGTCACAGTCGCGCTGACAGGTGATCGGGACTGGGACGAATTGTTCAATCTCTTCCTTCCCTCCCCGAGAATCGAGACTACGGCATCTTGTGAGGGTCAACTCAAGGTGTCAAATCCGATGCTTCTCATGAAATTGGCAACGCTAAAGGCCACCCTGGGTTCCTGACTCCTGTCCCTCTCCCCGAAGAACAACTCCTGTCTTGCGACTAATAGTCCACACAAACCCAACTCCAAATTATATCTAGATTTTCGCTCCGGTAAATGCGATGAAGAGTCGCCCTGGTGTCCCAAGGCCAGTGATATACAGCCTGGTCGCGTCACGGGAAGCAGCATGAGACTGCCATGGCCCAGAGGCGTGTCTAATTCATTGGTGTACGACCTTTACTGAACCTTCTTGGTCGCTGCTGGCGTGGTCTTGTCGGCAAGGTATGTCCGGTCATCCTCGCCTTCTTCCTCCATGACCACCTTTTCCATCTCCTTGCTTTGCTTGGCCCAGACTCCCTTTTCCGTCTTGGAGTCCTTGTTGAAGAGCTCGTCGCCAGGCTTGCGATAGCTACCACCTAGTCGGTCCCACAGGGTCGTGAATTGACCGTAGTTGCACTTGTAGTACCAATGATGCAGCGAATGGCAGGCAGCCCCGTTGATGACGGGCGAGTTTGCATAGTACTCTCCGTCGTGGATGAAGATGGTCCAGAAGTTGATGAAGGCGAAAAGGAAGATGTAGGCGAACTTCTGGAGAGGGAACAGGAACGGGAAAAGATGGTACGGGATAGACTGGGCGAAGCCGTCGAGCGGGTGGAAGGCGTGAGAGGCGAAGGGTGTCGGCATGATCCACTTGTGATGTGGTTTGTGCAGAGTCTTGTAGACGGACCTGTGATGCAGACCGCGGTGGATCCAGTAGATGCAAAAGTCGGTGAAGAGGACGAAGAAGGGAAACTGAAGGAGGTTGTACAACGGGAAAGGCGCCTCATCCGCGCTGTCGTAGAGCTTGGAGTACCCTCGCACTTCGGCCAGCATGCATGCGGCTGTTAAGAGAGACATTCCCGGCATGGCTTTCTGAGCCTGCGCAATCTCCATCTTAACCTGGTTCTTGAGATATTTTGGGTGTTCAAACGTTTTCTTGTCAAAGATAAAAATGTAAGAGAGTGTCGCGAAAACGAAGTATAAGAGAACCCCGAAAATCCTGTGACATATATTAGCATTGAATGGGTGAGATGCTTTTTCTCTTCCATGCAAGCTTACCACACAATAAAAAACAGGCTGATGAACTGTCGAAGAATGTGATCGCGAGGCCATGCACTGCCATAGGCCCAGACGGTCGGCTCGAGGCTGATGTACTTCGATGCAGGCTCAAAGATGTATTTGTATTGCGGCGTCGCAGTGGCTCCCTCTCGGATACTCGAGAATGTTGACGTGCTCCCGTTGCGAAACTGGTTGGAAAGATATGACGAAGGAGCAGCGGGTAGTAGGGTCGCATAGACACGGTCCAAGACCAGGGTGTCGGCGATTTCGAGCACGATGTCCATGGTGGACTACTGTGTTTGGAACGACTGATGCTCGAACGGAAATCTACCGCGTGGGATTTTCTTTTTTGACAGTTCCGACAGGCTGGGACGCAGGCCGGCGGGAGATGCTGCAGGCTGAGGGACGCCAACGAAGGACAGTCGATTGGGGATTGGGAGGTGCAATCGGGTTCGATTTGACAGTCGACAAGGAGAAGGAAAAGGAACAGTATACGAATTCTCAGCGGGAATAATATGTCGCGTAGAGGAGTGGCGTGAAAACGGCTTTGGCACCATCCGGAGCCCGATAACGGCCAGAAAATCATCGGTTCAAGTTTGCCATGTCAGTGCAGCGCCGTGAATCCGTGATCAGAACGAAAGAGCGTGGTCTGAGTGGGAACGTGTGAGTGGAGGAGCCTCGAGCCGATCCATTGGCCTGTGGGCGCAGCTCGCCGGCTCTTCCGCGTTGCTTGACTGATCGCTTCAGACCAGTTACCGTACAACTAGTACCGTCGAGAGCGAGGATCATGTGATACTCTCATACGGTCGAGCATATGGCCTAGTAGGCCATCACGTGATACCGCGTCTCCGCACATTGTCCACTGGAGTTCAAGTGCTTCACTGCACTGGCAGGTGGCATTGCTCCAACCACTGCCGTCATCCGCATGTCAATTGCAGTTCTCACTCATCATCGGTATCACCTCGACCAGATGCTTCTTTGACCGCCGCAATTCCTCTGCTTACCTCGATATGGTCAGGACAGAGTTATCAGCAGCGTCTCATCTTCACTCACTCTCATCCTTCGACCCATAACGCCCGGCCGATGACGTCTCAACCTCGCCATGGCCTATCTCCTGCTTCTATCGAGACGATCGCAGGCCTTTCAGCAGGTTTGATATCTACCATTATTGTCCACCCTCTGGACATAATCAAGACCAGGCTTCAAGGTGTGTGATACTCTCCCGTGGGCGGCAAGGCCAAATTTGAATAACAAACATCTGTTTAGTCGACACATCCGCGCACCCTCTTCTCAATTCCTCCCGATCGGTTCTTCGGGATATTCTTCGAAATGAGGGCCCGACCCGAATTTCCGCCTTATACCGTGGCTTGACGCCGAACCTAGTGGGAAACTCTGCAGGCTGGGGACTGTACTTCTTGTGGTATCGCGAAGCGCAGGACGTGATACGCAAAGTGCGTGGCTATCAACCAGGTCAGCAACTCTCATCGGTCGAATACCTGACCGCCTCGGCCCTTTCAGGCGGTTTATCCGCCATTCTCACAAACCCGATCTGGGTGGTCAAGACGCGCATGCTTTCCACCTCGGCCACACAGACGGGGGCATATCCGAGCATGATTGCTGGGCTGCGCTCGATCTACCGAACCGAAGGCGTCCGTGGTTTCTTCCATGGCATGACCCCTTCACTCGTAGGCGTCAGTCATGGAGCCTTGTACTTTGTGGCATACGAGAAACTCAAGTTCTGGCGCAGACAGTCCAAGAAGACCAACGAACTGACCAACGTGGACACGCTGATGACTTCGTCTCTGTCAAAGATCTTTGCCGGTGTCTTGACCTACCCGCATCAGGTCATACGTGCACGCTTGCAAACTTATAATCCAAGCGCAGCGACACACGTGCGTGGACCTGGCCTTGTCGCGCTGGTGAAGCAGGTCTGGCATAACGAGGGTCTCGTGGGCTACTACAAGGGTCTCTTTCCGAACCTGCTCCGTGTCGTCCCGAGTACATGCGTGACCTTCCTCGTCTATGAGAACGCTCGTTGGTTCTTGCCCAGGTTGTTTGGTGCACAACAAGACGGCACCGTTATGGCTGGTTCCAGCTGAGTCGCCGCAAAAAGAACAGACAACTTTGCCAGCACTTCCAGTCTCTTGAAGGAAGGTTTGTTCTATATTTCGTACCCAAACTTCAAGGACCGGCTATTGCCTGGTCATGTACTGGCGCCTCCAGTCCCATCCTAAGACCTTCGTCAGTGATGACAAGGCAATGAGTTTATTGACTCAAAAATGAAGTGGTGGAATGGTGTCAAGTTAAATAGACTGAGTCACCACAGCGTGTGCGGTGGTCAACTCAGAAGCCTGATCTGAACCACATGACATCACCTCCACCATCCTCTTACCTTAGACTGTGTCGGCAGGCCACGCTGGCTGGGGTGTGTGGCGTATATACGCCTTGCGGCCTTTTATCACGCGGGATTAGAGTAGGTACGACCATGAGCGTGGAGCTTGACCATGCAGATTCAGCAAGGAGCTTTGCGATGAACTGTTTTCTCATTATATCATCATACGGACGTGATGACCCTCTCTGTCCTCTAGTTGTTTTGTCTATTTTGGTTTCCTTTGCCTCTCCATTTCTTCTGTCGTTGACTCGCCACGAGTTGTATCCAGGATAAGCATTCCTCTGTCTAGGTATGTCCCATATTTCATGACCGATTCTAGAGGGACGACCAGCCTCGGAATTGGGGGGTTCAAATGCTTGATGAAGATTTATCGCGCCATAATGCGGTCTAGAAACTGAAAATCGGAGACAAATATGTGCTCGGGCTCGGGCTCGTACTCCTCTTTATCTTTCCGGTGGTCCCGCTTTTCTCCATCGTTTGCGGCACTCTCGTTCTTGTCCCGACGATAGTCATTATCGGTAGTTTCTATATCGGTATCCATGTCGTCGAAATCGACCCGTTCAGAAGCTACCATGTGGTGGTCGGTCTTCCACGGACACGCCATGTCCAATTGTTCCGCTATTTTCTCTGCAAGCAACACGGTGGCGCGCAGGGTCGTGGTTGTAGCGCCCAGGTTGATCGAGCCGAAGAAGTGTCTGTCAAACATGAGCTCTGAGATAAAGTAAAGAGGATCGGAAAGGGTAGCATCAAACCCACCCTTTAGCTTGTGGCCCACACCCATCCGCAAGACAACATACAAACTCGAGCAATCCCGTCTCCAAGGGTCCGAGGATCCTGAATTCCGAAAGTAATTCGCCGTAAATGCAGTTGATGGCGAAATAGGTCAGGTCGCCGCCGGACGTGGTGTCCATGGCTTGGAGAACGCGGGGGGTGTGGTGGCTGTAGATGCGGCGGAAGAAGGATAGGCCTCTTTGGTGGAAATGGGATGTACTTTTGTCCATTGTAGTTGGAGTTGGAGAGCGATTTGTGGTTGTGGGTGATAAGTTACCAGAGGAGATATCATAGCTGTGGTTCAAGTTGTCGATGTTGTCGTCGGCCGGCGGTGCTAGTGATGCTGAAAAGGACGAGGATGCTGATGACGACGGTCGGAGAGGCTTGTCGTTGGCGAGTATCGATGCAAGGGTGTGAGGGTGGGTCTGACCGATGGACGAGGTGAGGGCGAAAAGGGCGTTGATTGCCTTTGAAGTAGATGAATTCAATAAATTGGACATGCTATAGGATAGACGATATAAAGGTAGAAAAAAGAAAGATGGGTTTGGGGAACCAGAACTCCCAGTGGGAGATATGTTGAAAAACAGACAAGCACCCAACTCACACGATCAGGATCGGTCAAGTCAAGCGGGAGTCTCGGTCTGTCCACATCTCACCAGTCGATTCTGATCAGACATGGGAAGAACACTGGTAGTCAATGTGCTATAAGGAAGCAAGTTAGGTACTTACCCTGGGAAATCCAACCAGTGTGCTGGCTTTCAGACAGGCCTCGCGAACCTTTCGTGCGGTCGAGAGCAATCTCTGCTCTTCTTCAGCCTGTGCTTGTATTCCGCCGGTATTGGTGGGGTCATCATGTTGGCGTCCTTCGTCGTCGTTGGTATGGTGGGTTCCAGAGTTGGCAAGGTAGGTCCATAAGTCTTGGACGAGCTGCTCCTTGTGGAAAGCTAGCAAGACTGCAGTCGTCAGGACATACCATAGCGAGGGATCGACAACATCAGTGCCCGTGCTGCCTTCTTCGGCCGCAGACGCCGATTGTGGTGGGGGTTGGATTTGCGAGAACAAAGCCTGGAGGGAGCCGAAATCCAGCGATTGACGTTGTTGATGGTGCCATCGTCGGAGCCTTTTGCTTCGACCGGTTGGATTCCTCACTTCAGCTCCTCTTTTCGACATGTCCGCAGCCATGGCTGGTTTCTTCTCCTTCGGAGACCGTGTCCTTGACAAGATTCCCGCTGGCACCAATACTCCGCTTCCCGTGAATGGGATATATTCATGCCCTGATCAGTCGCTGTGCGATGCTGTGTAATGTGCCAATGACGAGTTGATGGTAAGAACGATCATGGTCAGAGCATCTTATGAAGAGTAGCGTTGACGGCCGGGGATATCTCGGCGAGTGGTGGTATGACTACAGCATTTGGACGCCGCGACTGCTGAACCAACAGACGCTTATTATATAGACATTGAAGATGAACCCGATGATAGCGAAAGTAGAGTCTTGCTTGTAGGTCGGTGGAGCCTCTGTGGACAGTGACCCGCTGCCCCTTTCCATGCAGCCTTGCAGACATAGTTAAGCCACCTTCATCAACCGCAAGCCCGCAAGAGACAAAGCATCCTACAGGTTGTTATGTCATTCCACGATATAGACTCTCTCGCAACCTTGTCAGATAGAGGCACGAGGCACGCTACGAACTGACGTCGAAGCAGTCAACATGAACAAAATGCCTCTTCAGCAGACCAATGACACAGTAGTGGGTGGCACGGCCTGTTACTCTTTTTCTACTACGAACCCCCTGCCTAGTCAAGAACCCCGCCCCAACTCTAAGCACGCGACCCCTCAAGAGGAATACGAAGAGCTCTTCCGACCTCAGATATTGATATAGACACCGCACATATCGGCCGGTAGCAGACCGTAAACCTCAATCACAGCTCTCTGACCACCAAGAACAGCAGCGAGAGAATCTTGAGATCTTCTAGAATGGCCAGCACTAAGCAGGGCACGCCGGCATCAGCCGCACCTACAGGAGCGAGTCATCAGCGCTCCGACAGTGGCATATCTGACGATGCGGCCAAATCAGCCCATGAGTTCATGACAGGTACCATCAGACGCTCAAGCAGCGGAGTCACAGATGAAGCTGCGGAGGCTGCTCACGACTTTATGCGGACGTCCAAGGGCACCGGTCCTGGTCTGAACGACGACCTCACCGAGAAAGCGCACAAATTCCTCGATGGTCCTGCAACCCATCGCGAGAGCCATAGCAAATATCTGCCGGATGTGACCTTGCCAGGGGTCACCGACGAGATTGCAGAAGAGGCATTGGAATTTGTCGATGGAGTTGAAAAGACAAACAAGACATGAGTGCCATATTGAAGGAACGGTGCGCCTGGCCGAGAACAGATTGATATGAAAGGAGAACAGGCAAAAAGTTGGGGTTGTATCACTAAATTGACACACAACACGGTATAGGTTGTCTTTGGTAGTTGTGAGCTCTTGGGGTCCCAGACATGACGGAGAATGAGGACGGCGGTCCGAGAAGCTCAGACGGCCTGTGGCCAGCACACTATGAGAATATAAGCAAGGCGGAAGACAAGGAAAGTAGGGACAGTATGGTAATCAATGACTTTCCTGTCCGGTTCTCCGTGCAGGTGGTTCTACACCATGTACAACCAGGACATTGTGGGAATTGGTTGCGGCCGGTTGGCCCGCAGACTCACGACTAGCTGTATTTCATTGCATACTCGAGCCGCAAACTTCTAGTGTCGTGACAGGAGTGTCCATGATTACCACGTCTTCTTCTTCGCTCGGAATGAAGAAGGTGGAGAGCAAGTTGATTTTCGCAGAGGTCTCAGCTACTGTGTACAGCCTCGTCACGTGCCGGTGACGCAGCCTTGTCCGGCACGTGAAATCAATTGAGGCCTCAACGCGGCATTGCAAAAGGGTCGTTCAACCGTCAACTCAGTACCAAGGCATAGCACGATACCGCCTGACGACAATGTCATAGTCCCCCATCCACACAGCGCTCATGGCGCTGAACCTTGACGGCGGGTATGTCGCTCCTGGCATAGCCCAGGGGAGCGTCGAGAACACCTTGCCCATATTCAACGTTGAGCGAGTCCAGCTTCAGTTCAACATCGCCTCCGATTTCGTGGCCGGCCAGGTCGCCAACAATGTTTTAATTCTTGCCCTTGCTACCGGGCGCATTCTCCGAATAGACTTGGAAAGTCCTTCGGATATTGACGGTGCGTATCGGAGTGTATCGCAACCTTCTGCACTGTTGCTAACTTGCTCGTCAAGATGTTGATTTACCAAAGAAGACCAGCGAAGTCGGTCTTATACGGCGCATGTTCCTCGACCCTTCGGCATCACACCTAATCATCAGCACTACCCTAGGGGAAAACTTCTATCTACATAGCCAGTCGAAACAACCCAAAGCTTTGTCGAGGTTAAAAGGCATATTAATCGAATCCATCGCCTGGAACCCCTCGCAGCCCACGGCTTCAACACGAGAGCTTCTGGTTGGAGCAGCAGACGGGAACATTTATGAGATCTATATCGAGCCCTCGTCCGAGTTCTATCGGCGTGAAGAACGGTACTCGGCACACGTCTGGAAGATATCCGATGGCGCGGTAACAGGTCTCTACGCCGAGGCCCTGGAAGGCAGACCTGAACTGCGACGGGTGATGGTGGCGTCTCGGTCCCGTTTGTATCACTGGCTGGGCAAGACTGGCGGAAGAGGGAAAGAGGGTTCGGCGTCGATATACGCCGATCTCTTTTCCAAGGAAGTCCCTGCCATACACGAAACCACTGGAGCCAATTCGGCAGCACCGTCATCTTTGTCCGTGTCGCCTGAGCCGCAGGACCCGGGAGCAGATCCTGATCGCAGTTTTGCCTGGCTGTATTCCCAAGGCGTCCTTACCGGCAAGCTTTCGACCTCGCCGTTGACTCCTAACCTCGGCTCGAAGATATTCAGTGAGGCAAAACTCCATCCACGGTCCATATTTCCTGAGACCACATCTGCTCGAGGAGGAAGGAAACTGATACAAGATCCCATTGTCTCTGCCATCTTGTCGCAGTGGCATGTTTTGGCGTTTGCCGAGGGCCGCGTGGTCGCAGTGAATCGTCTCGACGGGAGCGTGGTGTACGATCAGGCCGTGCTGGAACCTGGCCAGAGCGCACTGGGCCTGGTGGCCGATATCAAAAAGAACACTTACTGGCTGTTCACCAACCAAGAGATTTACGAGGTGGTGGCGACCGATGAGGAACGAGACATCTGGAAGATCATGCTGAAGAATCAGGATTATGACGCCGCCCTCCGATATGCCAAGAGCGCCGCACAGAGGGACTCGGTTGCCACGGCCTCAGGTGATTACCTGGCAGGTAAGGGCCAGTACCTGGAGGCGGCCAGTGTATGGGGGAAGAGTAGCAAAGCATTCGAGGAGGTCTGCTTGGCCTTGATCGATAACGGCCAAGATGATGCGTTGCGCAAGTACTTGATGGCCAAATTGGGGTCATACAAGAAATCCTCTGTCATGCAACGGGTCATGATAGCGACATGGCTGGTGCAGATGTTCATGGCCAAGCTGAATGCTCTCGATGACATGGTGGCCACCAAGGCGGAGCTGTCCGAGGATACCGATGCCGGAGGTGCAAAGCGAGACCTGGAGCAAACTCGAGCCGAATACCAAGACTTTGTCACCAAACACAAATCGGATCTGGATGCGCAGACAGTATACGAGGTGATTTCGAGTCATGACCGAGAAGAGGAGCTTCTGTTTTTTGCGCACAGCATCGCGGACTACGACTACATTTTGTCGTACTGGGTGCAACGGGAAAAATGGAACGAGGCGCTGGCGGTGCTCAACAAACAAAGCAATCCCGAGACATTCTACCGGTACAGCAATGTACTGATGACCCATGTCGCCACGGGGCTGGTCGAGATCCTGATGCGACGGAGCAACATCGACCCGACCAAGATGATCCCGGCGCTTTTGTCTTACAACGAGAACAACGCCAGCGTCCCATTGAACCAGAACCAAGCAGTGCGGTACTTGAATTTTGTGGTATCCAACAATTTCGACGTGCCGGCTTCCGTGCACAACGCGCTCATCTCGATCATGGCGTCACATCCTTCGCCCTCGGAAAGCTCATTACTGACCTACCTCGAGAGCCAGCCGACTCCTCCGCTGTACGACGCCGACTTCGCATTGAGGCTGTGCATCCAGAACAAGCGGGTCCAGTCGTGCGTGCACATCTACAGTGCAATGGGACAATACCAACAGGCAGTCGAACTAGCCCTGGAGCACGACGACATTGATCTCGCGGCCATTGTGGCCGATCGGATCGAGGACAACGACAAAGTGCGGAAAAGGCTTTGGTTGTTGATTGCGGAGAAGAAGATCAAAGAAGCCTCGCCATCGATCAAGGAAGCCATCGCATTCCTAAAGCGGTGCGAGCTGCTCAAGATCGAGGACCTGATTCCCTTCTTTCCGGACTTTGTCGTCATTGACGACTTCAAGGAGGAGATTTGCGAGGCACTCGAAGAATATTCTCGCCACATTGACACCCTGAAGCAGGAAATGGATCTTTCCCAACACACCGCCGAGCAGATCAAGGCCGAGATTTCTGCCTTGGACCGTCGCTACGCCATTGTCGAGGCCGGCGAACGCTGCTGGATCTGCACCATGCCTGTCCTGAGTAGGCAGTTTTTTGTTTTCCCCTGTCAACACGCCTTCCATAGTGATTGTTTGGGCAAAAGGGTGCTCGAGACCTCGGCCGCCGGCAAAAGAAAAAGAATCAAGGATCTGCAGGCCCAGGTCAGCCAGGGTCTCAGTGTCGGGGCGCAACGAATGAAACTCGTCCAGGAACTCGATGGCCTTGTCGCAGATCAGTGTGTCTTGTGCGGCGAGCCTGCCATCAAGTTGATCGATGAGCCTTTTGTCCATGACGATGATGATGTCAATGCTTGGGCTATATAGGTTACATGCTAGGTAGTGTAGTACCTGGTATAGTGTACCCAAGGCATGTACAGATGTATGTATCTATGTGGTGTATTTGTTCGTGTAATACATTTTGTGGTTGTTGTGGGACATACTTTCTCAATTCCTCGGTTTCATGAGTGAAAGGGGTTACCCCGAAACGAGTGAACCAGACCAGGGGCAATATCTCATGTGGCAAACATACAAACCAATGAATGCATTGATTTGTTTATTTCTCATCCATACTCCTACTCCCACTCGCATGTCCCTCCCCTCTCCCATCTTAAGATGCACCGGACTGTATACAGCTCCGACAAAGAAAATGCAATGAGTGACTGTAAGGAGAAAAGAGATGTGCCACTGCACGACAACTCAAACAACGCGACACAACACGGACTAACTAAGCCAAGGACCCTTGACCCTGCATTTCTCCAAAAACACAACCCTCAATTTCTGTCCGAACACTGCTCGTGGCCCTGCCTCCTGAAACGCCAGAAACCGGATGTCGAGGGAACTTGAAGCTGATAATGCCCCACAAACAGCGGAAGCTTGAGTGCAAAGATGCGCTGCAGCCCCTTGCTCCCGTTATTTTTTGTCGTTTGTCTGGTTCTGTTTTGTTTCTTCTTCTTTTTTTCGTTCCAGGACGGGGAAAGAAAAGTAGATACAGTACAATGACTCCCCCACAGATATTCAGAATAGAGCTCACTTCGTTTCCTTCGAGTTTTGTTTTTTGTTCAATGGTATGTCAGGTCTAGTTTCGAGACTGAGCTCTGAGGCTCTCTTGGTTCAAGGTTTTGGCGAACAAGGTCTGGGGTTTTGCGTTCCTGTTAAATGGACAAATCGATGTCATGCGTCAGTTTGGAGTTTCTCATCTAGATAGATACTTTCTCTTTCCACTTAAAATCGCCGTGGACTTGAAGAAATGGACAAAACGAAAACCAAGCACAAACAATAGCTCTTCAGACTGGATCACCATCCAGCCATATAGCGAGGGAAGACAGTATGACATATAGACATGGTTCGATACCCTAGCAAACACCGATATTGCCTAGGGCAGGCCATTTCCATGATGGTTGAGGTAGGAGAATGAAAAGAACCCAAGGCTGATCGTATATAGGCGGGCTTATGCGGCTGCAGTGCCCTGAGATGAACTTACATGAATCTTCTCCCTTTGATCTCGCTCAACTTCTTGGTCGTCGGACTCTGCATGGCATCCGAAGGCGAAATATACGTTTGGGTCTGTTGACCTTGTGTGTGTGCAGTATATTTCTGTGCGGTATGGTCGAACCGTGGCATTTTCATGTCGTCCATAGCGACAACCTTTTCTGATAACGAGTTGGTGGCTTTGATGGGGGACGAGGTGTTGGGGGAGCGTTCCGAGAGAGGAGTGTTTGATGACGAGGTCGAGGTCGAGGTCGAGGATTTGGTAGGCGACATTGTAGGAATTGAAAATGGGAGTGTCGTGAGCGCTGCGTTATCAGGTAGTTGTAGTTGCGCTGCACTGCGGTGGGTGCGATCGAACTCGCGCGCGTGGAAGACTGTGGTTTGCAGTGTTCGACGACCGGGCGAGAATGGTCGAAGAAGGGGGATTTCGGTGTGTTTTTCGTAGAAATTGGGATGTTGTGGTGTGTGATTGGGAAGAGGAAACAATTCTGATGTTGAGTTTCACGAACTTGAACTGAACAGAAAGGTTGCTTGCTGTGTTTCTTGATCGCAGTCGAGACAGTTTCCGTTGCCTGGGAATCCCTGTCACTACTGTCCCACTAGGGGTGGTCCTAGTTGTGGTATGCTCGTGTCGTAACACCGCCTGCTTGGTTAGGTAGGTAGTGAGTCAGGTAGAAATGTGTGCACAGGCCAATGCCCGCATACAAATGGCCGTGTTCTTTCGTGTGCTGAGAATTGGTGGGGTGAATGTTTACATTCTTCCGGTTACGTCAGCATCTACAAACATTCTGCTGGTTGGCGGGACAACGGCGGTATCACCACCACTACTGGAGGTAGAGGTACTGTATTCATGGAGATACAATGGTACAGGTTCCTGTCGGTTGTACAGTACTATGAGGGCTCCGAGTTCCATCAGTTTCGCTTTCACATAGTACCTGGTATACAGATCTGGTGATGTGCCATAGACCGGATATAGCATCTACCGTCGGGCGTCTACACCATCACATTGATGACCCAAGAATCAACATGCCACGCTTTTCTTGATGTCAGAACGACCACCACACCGACTCAGGTTGAGACGAGTTTTTCAAAGTGGGTAGACTTACTAACTTTCCCAAGTGGCATGCATCTTTGCGCGCGCCCTTTGTGCCATGTCTGTTCTGTATTCTGAAACGTCCAATTCTATCCGGGCCTGGCATCTCCTGGCCAGCAGCGGAACAACAAGCCAAGGCCCCGGAAGGGACTAGGTCTCTCGCATGACAAAAGCGAGATCAGTCCAGCGACATTGTAGTAGTCCTAGATCCAGCCTGCACCAGGCTCACGACACCTGAGACGAGCCTGCGCATAGAACCAACAGCAACAAAAAAACAACTTTTGTTCCTCTCTGGCATCCGACACACTTTTCCCCTCGAATCTAGGAAGATCCATATCCTCGATGAGGGCCATCGCCGTCTCGGACAGCTGCCCCGTCTCGCCAATTCCGCCGAGCATCACTGCCACTGCCGTTTCCGACATGATGATTACCAGCAACCTGATCCGCCTCCTCTTCTTCTTCGGGCTTCTTGTACAGAAAGAATTGGACAAAGATCGCCATGTCGAGCAACAACGTGCCCAGACTGCCGGCGATCCAACTAGCATTGACGGCAATATAGCGTAAATAAATGGCCCTCGCCTCGCCCGGTTGACAGTGCCCTGGATCGCGACAGACGGGCGAATAAGCAAAGATGGACATGTCATAGGTCAGATTGCCAATGCAGGCAAACAGGAAGAAAAGCAGTGACACCCCCTCGGTACTCTTCCGCTTATAGTTCAACAAGAGCTGCGGAATCCGCGAGCCCAAGTACAGCACGGCACAGAGATAGCCAAATACCTGGCCCAGCGGATCGAATTGCAACGGTTCCCAGGACGGAGGCGCGTCCTCACCACCACCACCACCATGGTGACGATGGTGTCTGCGAGCCTTGCTGCGTTCGCCGATCCACCAGCCCAATACCCCCGCAGCGCAGACCAGCAAGATGGCAAAGATGTTGAACAAAGCGGCTTGCCACGCCGTCATCGGTTTGGCATTGTTGCTCTTGACCGCCGCAGGCAGCTCGTTCGGTTTCGGCGGGTCGATGAGCGGAGTCACGGGCGACAAGTGATGGGCTCCATCGAAGGACAGGTGACGACGTAGTCGGGCAATATGGCGAGGGTGGCCGTCGTCATCCTCGTCGTGGTCGTGGTCATGTTCGCGCTCGGCCGAAGAAGAAGACGGTCGCGTAGTAGGTCCGCCCAGCAACAAAGGTCGAGTTTCGCCATGATGAGATTCCTGTTGCTGATGGTGGTTGTCTTCTTTCTTGATTTCATCACTCAGTGTGAACCCGCGATAGTAGAAACATTGGCCCAGTAACACAATGTCGGCCAACGTGTAGTAGACGGCCAAGATGATCATGGTGGGCAACACACCCTGAAGAATGGCGCCTAGGATGTTGAATACATCGCCCGCCAGCCAGATGACAATAAACACAATTGACAGTCCCTCGGCCGAACCGCGTCGGAAGTTCTCGATGATCTGGGGTGAGAAGACTACCACCCAGCAGGCGATCGAGATGGACCCGCAAATCCCCGAGAGTGCTTCGAGGTCGAGCGAAATGCCTTGCTGTGGTGGGAACATGGTTGCTGTCGCTATGACGCCCTAGAAAATACACCTCGTGCCAACAACTCGACAGCTTCACAGATCAGATCCGTCTATTTCGACGTGGTCAGGTACTGTACGCTATCTCAGGTGGCTCGGTTGTGATCGTTGCAAAATCTCGTGGTCGACCGGTCGTCAGCCTCCAAGCAACAGGATTTCTTCGAGTTCAAGACTAGTCGCAGGATCATGGATCCTTGACAGTCGAGGACCAGAAAGGTGTTGTCCAGAGAAGTCCCTCAGGATGGTGATGTATTTTGGCGTGAGGCCGTTGCGTAAGAGAACAGTCCACCAGTGCGCCCCCGTCGCTTGGAACACCTTCTGCGATCAAGTCGAAGACGGGTGTGCGAGCTGGAAATGTAGCTGTCCCCGTACACTCGGCGCTCTGGATAGCATCTGCACCGTGGATTATAATAGCAAGTCTTGAGGGTTGGAGCTCTACAAGGCTGGGGGAGAGAAAACTCTGCACACGTGATCCGCGCGGCTGTTAGCGAAGCTAGCGTGCCCCGAAATCCGGGGGAAAATCGGCGCTATAATTTCCACCGTGATGCAATGCAGGTACAACCTACTGTACAACGCAAATCAGCCACCGTCCGGCAGTTTGTTCTGCTGTACCACCATCAAGAATAATTGTACAAATTTTGATGACCAGAATAAGAGACCGAAGCAGACAGATATGCGCTTGTCTGCTCAAGAGTAGACCGCCGGCCCTAGTTGTCATATCGTGTTCATTAGATACTAGTGCTGTACGTAAAATCACCCGTATGTGCACCTTTGTCAGCCGCTCAGCCGCTCATCCATCTACACCCGTCACCTTCACACTCAGGCCGCCATACCGAGTTTTATCAGACGCCTGAACCGTCATACGAATAAAGCTGAGTCGCAAGACAGTGGCCACCCTATACCCCGTTGGTAAATCCAACGCTTCAAAGTGCTTGCGCAAGTTCGTGATATTCCTTCACTTTCTTTTCCCGGCACAGTTGAAGAATGCCTTCCATCCTCCGTTACCGCCTGTGTCAGCAGTCTTACTGCGACTCATGTCCGGGTCTATGTCTGTTCCTCCTCGAGACGTCTCATTCTGCTGTTGTACCGGGGTTCCCTTCTCATTGAGCGCAATGCTGCTAAGGTCCCGGCTGTTTTCCAGCCACAATAGGTCCTGTTGTACTGAAATGCCTAGCCCGGCGCCGGAACTGGTGCCTGGCCTTTGGAGCCACTGCTTGAGTTCCTTGGTCGTCGTCTCACTCGCCTTGTTGGCTTGCATTGTGTTCCACGTCGACAACATTTGGTCTGGACAGTATGAAATCAGTCTCTCTCGATATTATCCAACTGAGCTGGAATGTTATTGGCCGACTTACCGTATTCAGACACCAGCTTCCTTAGGTCTCGCATGACCCTTGTCTTCTGCCCCGTCTTCTCAGTTGCATCTTCTACCGCTGCTGAAGCTTCCAACTTCAATAGTTCGCTCTCGAGCTGGGATATCTCATCCTGTAAGCACAATAGGAGACGAACATGTACGTCGTCAAACCGCCGGAATACGATCGTGTTCTTTTCTGCCATGAAGGATGCCAACTCCGTGTGCTCAGATGGTCCGATGCTGAAGGATGCGGTAGGCACGGGAGTCTCACGAGGGGAGCGAGTGGGCCTTTGAGCAGCATTCTCGCGTGTTGGCGGTCTTCGAGCTTCCGGAGGCAGTTCGGGAAGCGGGGTGGTGGGCGCAGGTGTCGGAACTTGTGCGTCGTAGATCGTTGACCTGGGCGTCGTTGCACGCGAGTCCATAGACTTCCTCGATTTGGGACGGACAGGAACCGGTTGCACCACGACCTCGGCATCGTCTGAGCTGGAATTACGAGATGCCCGTAGGGAAAGGTCTGAGGGATGGGAATGCAATGCACGCTGGCGTCGCTCAGATGCCGTAGATTTCGTGGGATGAACTTTGGCCGGTGAATCCGGTGCTGGAGGTTCGGCTGGCGGGACCCTCGGGGATGGAAGGGCGGGGACCGACGCACTGGGACCCAGACGAGGTGAGTCTTGGGGCGTCTGAGGAAGACTGGGAACGAAGGATGGCCGTATTGAAGCCGAAATTGACGCCACAGGCTTGCGATTGTATTTAGATGTGGGCGGGAGGACCGCAGGTCTGCGCGTAGAGGTCATGGACGAACGAGCAGACGCATCGAGCTGCACCGATTCGTGCTGCATGAATACAGCACTTGGTCTGGTCAGCTCTCCTTCGCCTGGGCTACTCGCGGATCCTTCTGCGCTCGGGCCTGGAGCAGCACCCCCTGGAGTCTGTCTGTCCGCCGTCGTCTTCTCATCACCAGGTCTTCCTTCTGCCGATGATGAGCGACCATGACTTCCATCCGGCCCGGTCTTGGCGGGCTGCCTGAGGTCCCCCGAACCGGTTTTGGGTAATGAATCAACGTTGTCTTGGGTGGTCTGTGTCGTTGAATCGGAGGTCACGCTCTCGGGCGCCAGGGAACTCTTGGAATAGTTGTGAGAGATACCAGCACGCGGTTTGGGCGAGCTCGTCGGGCTAGGCTGGTTGGGAAATAGGGAGAATGAGGCAGGAGGAAACGCAGGTGTATCTCTGTCCAAGGTCGAGTTGAGGGCGCCGGTATCCAGCACCGGTATCCAATTCGGGTCATGAATATCTGGGCCAGGTAGAGGATTGTGGTAGTAGGACCGTCGTCCTGTAGGTAACTCGACGGGCGCCATGACTGTGGCCATCCTGCGCAGATATCAATGGTGTCGTCGCTTCGGGCGTTTGGATCTGCCAGTCTGTATAACGAGACGCGTGCAGAAAGAGAGTGACTATGGAAAAAAAGGCCCAAACTTGAGTGCACGGGTTCGCGCAAGATGACGGCTTTGGTTTACGGCGCCCTTGGTCTTCGGCCGGCTAGAAGTGACAAGCACCGGCTCGAGATGTTTAGCAAGAAATTGGTATGCGCTCCTTCGTACCCACGGACATCGGCCTCCGGCAACTAGAGTTCGTCAAGAGAACGACCCCCATGCTTTTACAACTCTAGTTTTGGCCCTTCGCCCTGCAGAAGGGGTTGCGGTACTGGTGTATCCATGGCGCCGGCTCGATTTCGACGCCAAAGGGGGGCCGGAATGCAGGAACACCAGGGTGATCAATGGAGCCAACCAACCCAGAATGGGACAAGTTTGCGGGAAAGGCAGACGAGGCGAGATGAGGCTGACAGCACTGGCCGTGAAAGTGTGATTTCTCGGTGGTGGTGGTGGTGGTGGTGGTGTTGACGGGGACTGCGGAGCCTGCTTTGAAAGAGGCTCTTAGGGATCCCGCAGAATAGCCACCGGGCCGCCCAGAGCACCACTGCAGGCGCCCAGCACTACTAGTAGCAAGGTACTGTCAGGTACCTTGTGCCTTGTAGTATACCTGGTAAGTACGCTCACTCACTGGCCTGGTGCACAGCCTGCGGTTCTCTACATACATGCATGTCGACGGGAACCTCAAGTTGCTCACACCAAAAGAACATCCTCAAGTACCTAATACAGCCCCTTGATCACCTTCCATCATCGTCTTCCTCACCCTCTAGTCAAGCCTACAGCACAATTGCCACGCAGTCGTCTGTCTACCTGGGTACCTCCCTGTACTAGCCCAGCAGTCCAGTGTCGGCAAACACACAGCCTGAGCCATACTTCTACCAGGTGATCACTTTGCATGAGATACGCCTCGCAGATCACGTCCTCCTCTCGACGGGCCCATCAAGCTGTCACTGTCACTAACCGTGTGTCAGTCCACGTCTCTTTCGATCAACCTCATGTCCTTGACAGCATTCGAAAGCCAAACAGCACCCAACCCGACCACAGAGCAGTCTTTCATCTGTGCCGTGGCTGCTCTAGAATGTGTCTCATCTTCTCACTCGCACGCAGACACAACGACAAAATCGTCATCACTTGCACTCGGGCCAGTCATCCATAATACCTGGGTGACCTCACACCTCACACCCTTCGTTCGCTCGCATCGGCCACAATAATAAATAATGAAATGTTAAAATAAAATGAACTCAAGCCGCTCCATCCCGGTCCCACAAAGCAGCCATCATGACGAGGCCAACCTCCAAGGCGGCCCAACGGCTAGAGACTAACCGTGAGCCGCCGGAGTTAGTCAGACCCCGGAAAACTGTTAGCCTCGAGTCCGAAACCACCGGTCCTCCAACATCCAATTTCCCTTGTTGACTGGAAGGACCCATATTCAATTTGCCCAAGATAAAAGGGCAAATGGGGACCACATCATAACACGACTCTTCTTATAGCCGCGTCACGACCATGTGCGGCTGGTCTCACATTCAAGGTTGTATATGTTCACTGCTCGGGAAGATGCATGGACTATACTCGACTGATCACCACTACTAATAATGTATCCTCCGTAGGGGGGATCTCATCAAACTCTCCAAAATTCATTCCCGTTTCAAGACCTGAGCAGGAAAGATCCTACACTCCTGGGCATTTAGGGTGATTTGGCAAGCCAGACTTTGCATGGGCCTTGCGCCGACAGCGAAGTTGCTGTGATGCCGTAAGGCTTATCAACAAGGGCAAGGCAAAGAAGAAGAGCAAAGATGGACAACAAGAGAGAGAGCCTACACTCGGAGTATTTACGGCACTCTCCTTTACCGCTGTGGCAGATTACAAGCTGAAGAATTCCTGGATACTCGATTCAGGCTCTGATATTCATGTCTGCAACAAACGAGAGAATTGCACACGAACCAGAGACGCAACAGAAACCGATATACTCATTGCAGGAATGAATCGATATCCGATCGAAGCATTCGGAAGCGTTGAGATACGAGTATCGACGAAGGATGGGATCAAACGACTCACACTCCTCGACGTCGCACTTACCCCAGGCTTCATGACGAACCTAGTCTCGCTCTCTCGGCTACACAATAAGCACGTCAATTGGAATACGCTAGACGGCTCGTTAACACTAAAAGATGAGCACCTTTGCTACGTACGGAGACGAGACGGGCATTGGATACTTTCCGACGACAACATTCAACCTCTATGTCCGAGTATTGCTGAGTCAGAACTCGCAAAGATCTTCAATCGAAAAGAGACGAATCACACCTCCCTATACGACCTCGTTGACATGGTCAGAGGCGTATATCGAAACACGAAGCATTCATCAATCAACAAAGCTTCACACTCTGCTTTTAGCGCAACAAAAGAGGACAAAGGGAAGAAGCCCGAATGTCTCTGTGGATTCAAGCACTACTACAGCGAGTGCTACTATCTTAACTCAATGACAAGACCTGACGGATGGTCTCCCAATCCAGATGTCAATCACAAAGTGCAGACTAAGCTAAACAACAGTTATGACGGAATGATCAGTCCAACAGGAACCGTGCAAGTACCACGCTAGATGCATTCGCTCTGTGCTCTACCCGGGGCCCAAGAACCTTGATTATACCTCAACGCATCTCGTCTGAAGACAATACTTATCACATCCATTTCAGTTTCCAATGGCCAAAGCTCCCGCATAGTCCGACTGCCAGTTATTATTGGCATCCACCCGAATTTTTCGGAAAAGCAAGGGTTATGCAGTGGTATTCGTCGTCGTACTACCGATAAAGACAACTTCCACCGCAGCCAGGCTAAAGGGAGCGAGTCAGTATGGACCAATCAGCAATATGAGAACAACTGACGCGGTTGTGGAGGCAAACACTTCTTTCATGTTCGCAGCGGTGCAGAAGGCAAGAATCAATCCAAATGCTGCTGTCAAAGCAATGGTGATGCCAATCCGACTGATTGTGGTACGAACATAGTACAATATCAGGATTGTCACTGCCGGCGTAAGTGACGCCAGGATGGTTGCGGTGAGTTTGAAGAGGAATCGGAACTTTTTCAAGGTCTCATTGTTGTAGACACGGACACCCTCCCACCCGGGTGCCTGTTCGACGCTTGATGATGACTACATGAACATGTTACCGTAAGTATTATACCAGAGGTAAACTGTCATGTCCAAAAACGAACCTGATGTTTGATTCCCCATAATTCATGATACCAGTCGATCAGTTTAGGACTCAACCACTTTTTCACATCTGCCATTTCAGAGTCTGCGTCGAGGTTTCGCACAAGGGAGACATATTCATGCGTGTCCGAGTAGTGCCACGTGAACCTCTCGAGTGCTGCTAGGAATACGGGACCGTCTTTGTCTTGCACGCTCTCTTCATCCAAGCGATCCCGAAGAAAGCGTAGATTCTCCTCGAGAGGAGGCTGGAGCCCTTGGACCTGGGCACCTTTCAGGAGCAACGAGTCTGGGGCGGCAGCATTAGCACATTTCCAGCTCCGAGTCTCGATGGCTCGGATTTCCGGCGTGGACTTGGACGCACAATACTCTTGCACCTTCTGGCGGCTTCTCCTCAAAAGCTTCAGCTGATCATCATCTGGCGCTCTGGATTTGTGAAGGGTGAAGAACTGCCTGGTACGTTTGCGAGTTTTTTCGTCCTGTGAAGCATCGTCATCTTTGCACGTCTGCCATAGTTGATCCTCGAGATCCAGCAGTTCCGCTTGGAGACTCATGAGTTGAAACGCCGTCAGTGCTGTAAACTTTCGAAATATTGCTGCGTCGGGGAATTGTTCCATCAATCTCGCTGCCTTTGGATAACCCTTCAGCGTACCGTCTGCGATTGATCCAGCATGGTGGGTCGTGCCCGCTTGCGTCGTTGTGTTTGTTGCCATTCTTCATTCTCTATTGCGTCCCAGGAGCTCGAGAGTCTTCCCTTGGCGATAATGGTAAACAGACTCGGTGCATTGCTGTCGGCTTTGAAATCACGATAAGACACCTGGCTTCGCCAGACTTTGCCGCTCGGGCCCAAAATTAGCATCCCTGCCAAAGATGCAGTAGGTAGATCATGAGAGGCCATTCAAACGACGCTGATAATCATGGAATCGCCGAGAGGCACATCAACTTACAGTACGAGGAACCAGAAGTGGCGCTCCCAGCGACCCAGTCCATGCCATGATTCTTCATGCACATCTGTGAGGAGATTTGTACCTTATACCTAGGTAGGTAGGTACAGAGTCAAGATGCAGCGGACTAGGAAGAGGAGGTGTGCCAGGAAGACGTATCGGAATATGCCACGTTGTACGGGGGAGGGGGTGACAGTGGCAGCTGTCGACAACATTGGAGGACCTCAGGCCATGACACTTTTGTAGTATCGGCATGCCTCGTTCATTCATCGAGTTGGACTCCTACAAGTCGTCCCCGCAATACAAAAGAAATACCTACCAGGTGACTAAGGTATTGTACTGCCGCAGCCTGTGCTCTCCGTGGCACAGCAGTGACACTCTTGAGTTGTATGGTGTCTCTCACTTTCTTGATCAACCATGGCCGGAGTGGAAGGACTTGGAGGAATTCTGACAGTTGCGGAATCACTTTCGGTATATGTTTCTGCCATAGAAGCGATCAGCAATCTGGGAGAACTGAAGGTACCTTCGAATAACTGCGGACTGCGAGGCACAGGGTATGCATTACTCTTTGCCGAGCTGGAGATCCTTCAAGCCATTCTCTCCGAGTCGGCACAGTTACTGGGAGCATCGCACAGCACAGTGCCAAAGTCTGCGCAGCTTGCGTTACAAGGGTGTTTGACCACCGAAGCCACCCTTCAGAAACAACTGCAGAGCGAAGAAGCGAGGAGACACTGGCTGCGTTTCAAGGATGGTTCCGCTGGCCCCTCTAAACGACTACGAGCCACCATGGACACCTTGAGAATCTCCATTCTCTTATTCCGAGATATCGCGACAAAGTAAGGAAGGACCAGCATAATAATGAATCTATGCCAAACTGCTAATGCGTTCACAGTTACGAAACACAACGTCTTCTGCGATCTCAATATGCCATTGCTCCAGAAAAGAGCTTGGGCAAAACCGAGCTTCCTAGCAAGACCGTCCTTTCCGATGAACCGAATGTACAGGCTACCAAACAGGACCGCGAAGCAACCAAGCTCGTCTCCGAGAGAGACTTTTCGGTATTTGAAGCCGATGTTCGATTCAAAGATCTCGAGACGTTCTACGCGAAGGGCAAGATTGACACAGGGTCGGACGTAGAACTCGTCTCGTTGGATCTGCTACAAAGAAACAATCTGGTTCAACATACCACCAAGCAGAATACACCTATCACTCTAAAGACTCTGGACGGAGGAACCTTTACCCTTGACACAGAGATAACTCTGATATGGAGCCTCCCCAACACTCCCAAGACTTACCAAACCACCTTCTATGTCAAGGACGTGCATCAGTTCGATTTGCTGATCGGTAAGAAGGTCGTGCAAGACTTGGACTTGCTGAATCGGAACAGAGACGTACTGTTTCAGACTGTTCTGAGAATGGCACGGAGCCGTGACAAAGGTGAGTTGAATAGTTCCTTGCTCCTTTGACAAAGAATACTAAATCCACCCCGTCAAACAAGCCGAAGAGCAGAGAAGAAGAGCCATTCTCGATGAAACGGCGAAGGAAGACATCGACGAAAAGCGCCGCTTGGAAAAGCTGGAAAGAGACAAAGCCAAGGCAGCCAGACGTGCAACCACCCCCCGAAGGTGGAAACCTCCACCCACCGGCAATGTTTAAACCTTCTGCTCAGAACGCCCACGCTCCGGGGGCCGTCTACGAGCTCGTACCTGCGCTTCTCGCCAGATGCATGACCCAGGGTGAGCCATAGCTCAGCCTGCGACAACTCAAGAGCGAGGTTGATCATGAGAGACGGAAGGGATCAAATTGAACGTCATGGGCCTGCGAGAAGAACGTACTATGGGGCAAGGAGCAATCGTGAAATTGGAATATGACTTGGAGCACAGAGGAACTCGAGACGAATGTAAGGATCTGTTGGTAAGGAAAATCGGTCTAGTTGGCTTGATTGATCATCTAGCTCTACGAGTCCAAGGGTTTCATTTTATCCGTGCCACTTGGGGAGACCATGATGTGGCAGGGCGGCCAGGAGCATGTTGTCGCGGCAGGAAAGGCAAGTCCGCGACATATGCGGCATACTAATCCTCTCCGTTCCTTTACCAGGTGTCTGCCGCTCTGATATGCTATTGTTCCTTGGAGTAAGTGTTCAAGGTATCATTCATTGAAAATGATCTCAGGTCGAGAACATAGCCGCATTATGGTCTTGTCTTATCCACGATTGTCCATTCTAGGCAGCACCTGATGGCTGCATAAGGGTTTCAAGAGCACTCATGATGATCGAGCAAGAAATCCGGAACTGGACACTTCTGAAGCTTTGAAACTCCAGCAGATGGAAACCCGAGGAGGACAACCTGTCACCTCTGCAACGGGCCAACGGCTATACATTGTACAATAACGTCCTCAGGGTGCTCAAGGTGTCCCTCAGCGTTCTGCCAAAGTCCAGGCTGTCGAGCTCAGGACTGCGCACCGAACAGCTCAAAAGGGATAGTATGCAAATTTTGACCCCTCCCAACTTTGAGAATACCGAGTAAGGAAGAGCGGCGGTGTACAAGACAGGCCAAAACGTGCCAGCCTAGAAGGGGATGTACCTAGGTAGGTAGGTGCTCTGTCGCCCCTGACCCATACCCAAGGACACATGTAATGAATCTAGGTGTTGATGCCTAATATGGTTCAGCTCACCCAGTAACATTCCGATTACCGCCCCTGACCACGGCCAGGAAATTAAAACCCCAGACCATTCACCGTTCTACAGTGTATCTGTTAAAACAACATTTTTTGGGGCAACAGTGAAGCCATCGTTGCCAGGGAAACACTGTGCCATATCTGTGTCCCGCCGTTTCGCCTTCGCTTAACAAAGACATGGTCCAAACTCCAAAAAGGTAAACAAAGCGCCATCGAGGTGTTGTCATTCTCGTCATAAGTGGTTGTTGTCGTACCACAAAAGTTGTTGAAATTCATTGTTGAAATTCACTGTCATGGGATATCGTCGAGCCTGACGATTCCCAAGAGTTCTTGTGCCAGCCAAACAAGCAACAAATTTCCATTTTACACCCCAAAGACAACATGCGGAAGCTGAACCGTACAGAGCAACTGTGTCAGATGCCGTGACACCAGCGCCCACAATTGCAGGTCACCGTCGGCGTTAAGACAAATCATGTGCGCCTGTGACCGCTTATCCGTTATTTGTGGCCCCCCGCGTTAGATGTATGGACATCCTGAGCATCGCCGCCGTTACTGCTGGACTTGGTGCTGTTGGGACTGCAGCTGCTTGCACACGTCGCCTCGGGCGACGGACACTCTCCACCGTACAGGAGCTTTTCCATCGCCATGACCTGCTTCCCATAGCTGGTTCGTCTCAGTGCCGGAAAGTTGCGTTTCATGTCCTCTCTCAAGGCGGAAAGCTCTGCGCCTTGGAGTTGGTCATGGACCTTTTCTGCTCTGGTTAGCGTGTGGACTCCTAGTATGCGCGGGAATGCTACTTACGGAGAACATAGTTGCCATACTGGTCCTTCATGAGGCCAAACACGGGCGTGTTTCCCTGCTCGTCTGGTGCAGTCAATGTATGAAGTATCTGAGAGCGTTGGTCTGCGTCGGCGTGCTCGATGCTCTTTTCCACAATGTTGCTCGCAAATTTATGCTTGGAGAAGGCCAAAACATGTTGCAGAACGACGTCGACGACACGGCGCCGATCATGAGGTTCGCCATTCTGAATGATGTGCTGGACAACGTAGTTACCAAATGAATCGCTGATTAGAGGCAGGGTATGTTCCAGAAGCTCATCCAAGATGGCACGCTTGGCTTCCGGTCGGCAGTGTTCGAGCATTCTTTGTACCACGCGGCACCCGTACTGGTGCGTCGACATCTTGAGCATCTGACCCCGGTGGGCATCGACAATGAATTGAATATGTTCGCCGGGTATTCGTTCGATGGCCTTTTGCACGACATGATTGCCGTTGTTATCCTTGACGACTTTGAGAATCTGCTGATTCGGCCCATCCAGTTCCTTGACTAAACTGGCCTGTTGGTCGGTCAGGACGTGGTCGAATGCTTTCTGTACCACACGACAACCGTACATCTGCATGGAAAGCTGGAGAACGTGGCCCTTCATCTGGTTCGCCAAGGCCTTCTTTTGGGCCTGGTTGCCGTGCTCAAATAGCTTCTGAATCACGTAATTGCCAAACACGTCCGTCATGAGTTGGAGGACATTAGGTTGGATCTCTTTGAAGATCTGCTCCTTCTCGTCACTGTTGGCCGTCTCCAGCTTCAACTGTATGAACCGAGAGGCATGCTGGTCGCCACTGAACTCGACCACGTGGTTGTAAATGTCTTTGAGCTCAAACCGCCGATTGGTCTTGCCGCTTGCACGGAACTCTTCAAGCAGTGGACTTCTGGCAACGTGGGTCTGGTCGGCCTCACGTGCCAGCATTCGCGGAGCTGTCGGATAGCCATTCAGACGCGGATGTACAGGGGCAACGTATGGGTGAGCAAGTGGGTTCATTCTCAAAGGCTGAGCAGTTCGCTGGAAGTTGCAAGGAAAGCCATTTGGCATATGGGTTGGCAATGTATTCTGTGTGAAATGAGGAAAATCGGGTCCGTACTGTTCCAGGGCAGGATGCTTCCGGTCGCCCATCGGCGAATCGTTGTATGGGGCCCGGCTTGCAATACCATTGGCGGAAGTGCTTCGGCTAGATTGGGGTCCCGTTGGTGGTGTGCCCGATGTTAAATACGCTGGACTGTGCACACTACTCCTTGGATCCGTCGTCAGTGGGGAGAGAGCTTCTCGCCCACCATATGGCAGACCAGAGTAATGAGGAACGATCTGTTGGTTGAGTTGACAGGCGATAGACGGAATATCGCCCGGAAATGCATGAAACCTACTTCCCACGGAGCTGAAAGGGCCGGGCTGAGCCGAGACGTGTGTCGCGTCCGGATGGACTAAAATGTCGCGTGGATGCTGTGGCTGGGGAACAGAAGTCCGCCGTGGGGTAGGGATCTGAGCGCCGGTTTCCTGGGCAGGGCCCAAGCTTAGTGCCCGCCACGAGAGTATGGCCTCGTCAACTTGTTGATGAGAAGAGCCAGAAGCTTGAAAAATGTCGACGTGTTCTGTGCCCATCGGCTGCGCGCCAGCATTCCTATATGATGGCGTTGCAGGCTGAAATACCGAAGCAGCACCGGGCTGTCCTCGGACTACGGCCCCACTTGTTGTGGCATAACCATCATGCGGTAGATACGGCCGGCCACTGGCGCCTGGCGATTGAAACGGATTTGATGAGCCTTGGCGGCCGTCGTTGTAGTCGGCGAGTGACGTGAAGAATCCGTTCTCGTTGAACCTGCTCGTGTTAAGGGCTTGCATGCGCGAGTCAACTTCGCCCCGGCCATATGCGCATGGGGGAGATGGTCGAGAGCGCGAATTGTTGTTGAAACCAAGAGAGCCATCCTGCGACTGTGGCGCGGTGAATGCATCTTCCTCGAAATCCGGGGAGCTGCCAGCAAAAAGACCCGAATCGCCCATCTCTGCATGGGCATCGTTGCTCAAAAAGCCCATCCCCTGGTTCTGTCGTTGTTTGGTCGGTGAGAGTGGTTGAGCTCTATGTCTGGAGGATAATCCGTTGGGGGTCGTGGCAGAACTCCATGCCTTTCTGACTGGCACATCGCCGGCATTCTCGTTGTTGGAATCCGTCAACATCAAGAACGAATTCGTGTCTGTCTTACCCTCAGTATACTTTGAGCTAGACATTTGGCGTATAGGCGAGGCTGGAGTAAATTGTCAGCACGACCATCTCATTAGCAGCGGTTGGGACATACGTCTGAACGGTCCACTGTCGTCGGCTTCCAGGTACGATCTGTTGGGGCCCCAGAAACGACTTGTAGCAGTCCAGGAATTTTTGCCAATGTCGGAGTCACGATCTATTCTGGCCTGTGGTCTCGAAGCAGAATTCCTGCTGGATGTAATCCCACGCCCGGTCCGTGCCTGAGATCTTCTCGTCAGTTGTCATGTTACGAAATCCCTCTTGAGCCACCCACATTTCCCAACGCAACTTGAACGTCACTCGTCATCGCGGCGTAGAGGTATCTGTGACTACAGATATGGAGGGTGGGCTTGAATAGTGAGGGATGCCAGAGCGTGGCAGAACTCGTGAGGTAAATGGCCACCACCTGGCCGAATGATGTTTGAGTCAAGTCAAGAGGAAGAATATCCACTGTCAAACACGATGCAATCAGCAACTTCTGTTCAAAACCATCGAAATTCGTCTAAAGAGGTAATGGCATACCGAATTTTGAAGATATTTAGCGTAAGATGTACACCAGTCCGAATCATAATATACCCCCGTGGTAGGTACAAGGAGGGAATATCGAGGGAGGGACGAGAAATTAAACAGATGAAGACGAGATAGCAGAAAGCAAGGTTTGGCCAGTGTCATGTACCCCTTCGTTCGCCAGCAAAGAACTGGTACAATCTCAGCAGGCAGCCGCAGGGCAAATGGGAATCATGGCCTGCTAAGCCTGATTCCGCAGCGGACGGGAACCGGCAGGAGGAGACAGAGGATACGCGAGGGAGGAGCATCTGCAATCAGAAAGGCGGCTCGACCGCGATTTGCGCATGGCAGCAAGGGATGGGATGCAGTGCAGTGGCTGTTGGAAGTTGTGGAATGCTGCGTTGCCGGTTTTGTGCAAGGCGAGGCGCAACTCTGGCGGGTGCCGGTGGGCTAGAAAAGAAGGGTTTGCGGTGAGGGAGCAGGCAGAAGACGCAAATCACTGGGCGGTGGAGCAGCCTCTCAACGGGTGGTCGAAACGGAAGCCAGACAAACACTGAAGGGCCAGAAAACAAGGCTGTTACACAGAGTTGATGGACGACGAAGCCGATGGTTTGCAAAGGCTGTTCTTGGAAGCCTAAAGGATGATATATCAGATCAGAGTACCGACTTACTACATTGTACTATTCGGTTCGGCTGAGTTATGATGCGCAGGCAGCTGTAGCGCAACGACGGGACCATCGAGACCCCAGATCGACCGGCGATGTGCCTTCAAATGGGCTTTGGTGGAGCTTTGATCTGGCTGCCAAATGCGATTTTGGGCGTGGATGTGCGGTTTCACGCTCCCTCAAAAAGTTAGGCGTGATCGGTTTGCTTTTTAGGCGGTGCGTGTGGGCTGTCCAAGGCTTGAGAGGCGTTGGGCTGGGGCGTGGAGACGGGCGCAGGGCCAGCCAGTAGGGCGAAGGAGTGATGCTTCGGAACGGAATAGCCTCTCGTTAGGCGTCAGAAGGCGTTGCGGCTGTCCACTGACCAGCAATTCCTGGCCGCAAGGGACTCGGTTGAGGGCGTTCTACTGTGAGACCTTTTTTTGGTCTTTTGTGGTTTGCAGCGGCGGATCTGTCGAAGGCTCTGGTCTCGCTTCTTTCGCAGTATCGAGGTCGTCCATCAGACCAACGCCCTGCTCCAAGGTTTGTTCCTGAACAAACGTCTCATTTCCACCTACCTTAAGTGCCTGCTAATCGACTGTGTCCATAAGCCAGATGCAGGAGTCTAGCATGGGGAAGTCCCATTGCTACTACTAGTAGTACTAGTAGGCTGACACAGAGAGCAAAAGGGCCAGTCACGTCCAGAGCTCAAATACTACAGGTACAGTTGCTGCGGGAAGACACACTGTTATCTCTTCCATGCTCCGTCGACCGCTCGGCGACCCATCGTCCTTCATCATTTACTAGAAAATATGTCTGCGGATTCGACCTACAGACCGCTGTTCCAGCCCGCAGCACGAAGTTTTGCGCCCGACTCTAGACTACTAACTGACGTGGCAACACGAGAGGCAGCGCGTCTTTGGGTTTGGTTATGTGCCAGCTCAACAGGCTGACAAACACAGTACAGCGCCCGCCGCCCATGATTTTTTGGAATTCAACAGCAGTGGCTGCGGACCATTTGGCTTCAAGGCACCTGCATGATCGTCGAATTCGGTCGGCAGAAATGGGCTTTTCGTTTCTAACATGTTCACAAGGATTCGAGGAAGGTGTAGGTCGAGCCCGAAGGTTTTGACCATGAGGGGCTGTGTTTGATTATTAACCCTTCAAAAAATTCTCCGCTTTGCAACGTGGTACGCGTGGCCTTAAAGTTCGATTCAAGTACTACGGGATTTCTCGCTCTGCTCATGACTGGCATTCGGAAACAACTCGCAGCACTACGGCCATAGTTCGAGATACCTGGTACACACTCGACGACTACTTAGTACCACCAGATCGTCAAATGGACTCGGGAAGAAAGCAGATCAAAGCCTGTGTCAAACTTACAGACTCCCTTGCAGCACATTTTTCGCATGTGAGGCGAGACATGCTCGTTAGAGTGGACTTGAGTCGGGTTGTTTGTTGATGGTTTCCCGAAAGATGCCTTATTGAAAGCAGTGCCGCCTTCTATTGGGTCAACAACGTTAGATTGCCCAACCTCCGAGATGCCGTGTCTAAGCCCGTGCCGCTGCCCTCCGAGTGTGTGTTCTAGTTAGCACCAGCCCCAGGTATATTGTTCTGATTGGTGTATCAAAGCAGCACCAGAAAATACAGAGTGTAACTGGCCTAGTTCGACCAGGTCCGCCGACCACCAAGCAGCGGGAGGAGGAACGGAAGAGAAGAGGGTCTTTTGGTGCGTGGCTGAGCAGAGACGGCAAATGGGGGGCCAGAGGAAGGATTGTCACTGGCCCAGCTGCCCACCACATTATTGCCTGCCAGCGCGTAGACAGACGAGCTCGCCAATGCCGCCAGTCTCACTTGGGCCTGTACTAGCTGGCTCCCCCTGGCTAGCACCAAAAGTCGCAGCAATAGTGTTTACCCACTGCAGTAGTACTGTGTAGTACTACTGGAAGAAGGAGAATTAATCCTATCTCGTCGCTGTTGAATTCCTCCTACTCACCTTCTTTGCTTCTCATCTTCCTGCATGTAGAGACATTCACCTTCTCTTGTATCTCCCGGGGTGAATCCAGGCAGCGTTCAGCTTCACTCTTTCGCTGAGCCCTTGCCGTCCGTTCCTTCGCATCCCCCAGCCACAGACACACGGTCTTCCGTCTGGTGCAGGAAACACTCCCCGGAACCCAACCACTGCTCGGACTTCCGAAAGACTGTGCACATCAGGTCCATCTCGTAGCACACGCCTACCCTACGCCTACGCGTACCGAGTCTTGAATCTTGCCAGCCTTTTTCCAGTCACGACTGCACGCGATCTCTTCCAACTTCAGAAAGAACCCCGGTCGGAGTCCCAGTCTGTGGCCCCCAGCCAGCCTCGCCCCTTCCTTCGCACTTGCATCTCCCGACACGCCGATAACCTTACATGAGCCTTGAGTCTTCTGATCTATATTGGTCTTGGTTATTGGAAATCGGACTCTTTCACCAGCCTGCGTCCCTGACCACTTCACGATGGACGCGTTAAAGAACTTGCGCTCCAATCTACGCCCGCGCGACTCTTCTGATTTGGACGACGACGTACGATCTACCGATTTCGCAATGGGCCATCTACTATTTGTCTTCTTTGGCCTCCTCTTAATTGCGTCGATCCTTTCGTTCATTCTGCTCTGCCTACGCCGCAAACGACTAGCGAGAGAGCGAGCCTTGTTACCAACATATCAGCAGCCTACATATTCGCACCATCGCTCCCCCTCTATCAACAATCTAAATCAGGATGGGAAAAACGAATCCATCTTTGTCTACGATGAGAAGATGAACCTCATCCACAACTCCTCAAGCCCAGCATCAACGGCCGTTCCTGAAATCCACATCACCTTCCCTGATGAAGCGGGCAACTCTGGTAACAAGCAACAAGGCCGTGTGGTGGTGGTTCACATCACCGAGTCTGGGAGCGTTGGGATGGAACCTCTCCACCGTGAACCACTGCCGCCTTACCAGAAAGAAGATGCCGACCGTTTTCAGTCCCTTGACCTTGACAGGATAGGCGGGCTCAAAGAGAAGGAGCCGTTGGGGCAGAGGTGGTCGTGAGGAAGATTTCAATGCGATAATTCTGCCTTTCCGACCGGGTCACCTCATTGGGGATGCTTCAGTTGCAGAGAAGCACTTGACATTATCCTGCATGTTGTGCTTCTGGTGTTGGTCGATCTTCATCAGGATATTACCATGATCACGCTGGCCCCAAGTCTGCAGGCTTCAACACTGCCGTTTGCTGGTGTAGTTCGCCAGCACCCTTTTGGAGTGTTTTTTTCTATTGGACCCAGTACGCACTCCGTGTACAAATAGTATAGTTTCTAATCATTTTCTGAAATGAGGGCACCGGTGCTGGAGTATGGAATGTTACACAGTTATGCCCTGAAACGTATACCCCGTGGACTACCTGCTTGTGACTCCTCTGTATCGAAGCCGGAGTGAAGCGGCATGCAGTGTTTAAATGCAGTGATCATGTACATGGTGACCCCCTGCATTGGCCGGGCTGTCACTACTGCGAGGATGCTATGCGTAGTACGACGTCCTCACTTCCATTGCGAGGATTGCCCTCGAATAAATTGCCCTAGCACTGCAATCCGCGTCCAGCCTCGAAGGGAACGGTACTGCCTTCATCTTTAGCCCCCATCTTTACTCCGTCATCATCATTCTTACACGCTTCCCTTGTCAACAACCCAGGAGAAAATTCCACAGCTCGCAAGACCTCCACTGCACGTGGTGGCAGCCGAGAACAGGTTTCAAGTTTGTGAGGTGCCCGCACTGCAGCCTGCGGTGCCTGCGACTGGTCGAATCTCGGCGCCCACTTTTGACCCAACGCGTCAACAAGCAATTGGCCAATCGTTCCGCACGCCTGCCGAGTCCGCATTTCCTGTGTTGACAACAACTGCCAGTGTTGGTTGTAAGCACCGTCCGTCATCCAGTCCAGTTGGATTGGTATGTACATAGTCCTGATCGCGGATCTTATCCTCGGCCGCTTATCTATTTACTCCAACGCCTCGAAATGCACAGCGTGACCGCCCTTCAACAACGAGTTGTCCGATTACCTTAACCCTAAAAATCGTCCCTTGCCAGCGCCCGCTCGAACCACATCACCGCTCCGTTCGCAGCCATGGCTACGGCTGCAATGGCAGGAAGCGAGAACACGCCGAACAACGATATGCACGCGTCAGTCAATGACTTGTCCGATCCATTCGTGGACGAATTTCAGCCGCGAGTCTCATCGCATGCCCACCGCTACTCCAGCCTGGTGGACCCTGACTCGATTACGCTGGGAACGAGCGCATCGCCTTCTCAGGTCAAAAGAAGTATCATTGCTCATCTCGCGGAGACGGAGCGACGTCTCCAAGACGCACAGAAACTAGGACAGTCGCTCTTACTGCAACAATCGCAGCTCACGGAGAAGTTGCACGAAGTTGAGGCACAGCAAGGGGATGCCGAAATCTCGCCTGAGTTGCGCCAAAGACTGGCTGACTTGGAGAAGGAACATAATGACGTTGGCAAAGAAATAGCGAGGGCCTTATTAGGCCCCAAATCCAGGGCAGTCAGTGGTGAAGAAAAGCCCGCGTCTGAGCAGTCCACCTTTTCAAGCCAGGCTACGGCGTCTCCAACCAAGGTGACGGCCCCGAGCCGGCGGCAAAGGAATCAACCTAGTAACCGTGCGGGAGACCTACAATTTGCTGCCGACATCAGTACGTCGCTGTTGGCCCAGGTGCGACAATTACAAAGCGCCGTGGCCGAACGGGATGAACTACTCAAACAGGTCAGTGCTGAGAGGGATCAGCTAGAACAGGACAAATCGGTCTTTGCTCAGCGTTTACGAGTCCTGGACGAAAGCGAACAGAAATACAAGGATGAGAACTGGAACCTTGAGACACAGACGCACGAGCTTCTTGCCGCTGCTCGCGAGGCGGCAGATCGTGAGAAAAGGCTGACAGCCAGTCTTTCGGCTGCAGTGGCCGAGAAAAGTCGTCTACAAAGCGAAATGGACGAAATCAGGCTGGCTCATGACAAATTAGCCGACGAACACGCCTCAACAAGAAAGGCCCACGATTCGGAATTGCATACTCTCAAGCGCACCATAGAGTTAGGTGATAGTGAGAGAGCAGCACTTCAGGGTAAGATTGACGAGTTGACGGCACAAAACCATGAGCTGGCTCGCGCTGTTGCGGCGCGGCTGCGAGGCCCTAACTCCGACGCGGAGATCTCTGCGAACCAGGAGCCCGAGGAAGAATTCCGCAATTATGATGACCTGGAGAACTCGCCTCCTGCGTCTCCTACTAAAGCAACGCCCAGGCATGGAGGGCTGGAGTCGGAAACACTGAGGAGCTCGTTGCATCATGCTCATCGCATGATCCAAAACCTCAAAAACAACATCCACCGCGAGAAGACGGAAAAGATCGAGTTGAAGCGAATGCTGCAAGAGGCAAGAGATGAACTTGAGCAACGACGTGGGGATGGCTCGCTCGGAAGTGGTACCAAGCGCCAAAAAACAAAGTCGGACATTATTAAGAAGCCGCCTCGACTTGATATGCTTGGAGGTAGTCGGCGGATGCAGATGGACATCGAACTCGAGGATGATGATTGGGAAGACCATTTTGCGGACACTCCAACTCACAATAAGCATTTGACAATACCGACAGCTGCCGAAGGCCGCAGCGCCGATGTAAGTGATGCGTACCAGACGGCCAACGAGACCGAGGGCGCGTTTGAGACCGCGGATGAGCGACATGCCACAGAAAGTGAAGATTTCCAAACAGGAGCCGAGAGTCTGGCAGGCGATAGCACGGACGATTTGACCGAAACAGAGGAGACTGCTTCTCATGGGCGGCGCCTTGGTCCTATTCGAGCTCTTAGACCGTCTCTCGCGTTCAAGCCGGCCGGTGATAGGCAGTCGTTCATCAGCACCGCCTCTACGTCCGCCGGAGAGGACGAAGACGAGCTGAAGACTCCAATTGTGGCCCAGTCACACAAATTCCGTATCAGGAATGGGCGAGATTCCTTTGCCCGACAATCAAGAGTGCCCACCGATAGCACACCTATCAACCTGATGTCTGATGCCATATCTCAGGATTCGCCAGCGACGGTCACAAGTGAGCGCAGCACGCCAGCCGCCGAACAGAGCCTCTTTGCCGAGCTTGGTGGTATGGACGATGCTTCTAGTTTCGGCACTCCAGGCAGGACCAGCATAGCTTCGGTGTCATCTACTCCTGGCTTCCCAGGGTATACACCTAGTCAGCGGACTGTATCGCAGGCAACACCATTGAGTGCCCCGAAGACTTCAATGGTGGATTCAGGAACGATGACTGAACCGTGGAAACCAGAAAGTGATCGCCCTGCCCGCGTTCTCATTGATGCTGGCACGGTTATGGAGCCGCCTTCTCCGGATCACGACGACCTGCGGACACCGCTACCATCCGATTTCCCTCTACCTCCTACGGTTCCAGTTTCACCAATCAAACAGATCGACAACGGTACCCAGTATACTCCTCAAAGACTTCAATTGCAAGACAGTCCTATGCGTAACACGGCTTTCATTACACCCCCCAAGACGGTATGGGACGAAGCCCAGAGTCCTGGAGTATTGCCCTCAGAAACGGGGTCCACTCCCCATCCTCAAACGCCTGGCCAACTCAATTATTCTGGTTTATTGATGCACGACACCGCACCAAAGTCTCCTGAGAATGTTATAACCCTGCCGCCACACGTGTCTCTACGTGAGCCCGAAAGCTTGACGTTTTCTATCATCCAGACTCAGTCAACCGAACCCATTGAGGCTGAACCAGCAAATAAATCGACCGGTGTTGCGGCCTCAACACAGGTCGAGGATCTCCCGAGCCGTCCCACTACGGCGGAAAAAGTCAGCACCACTGGTCTGCTTGCATCAGCTGCAGCCGCCATGGGATTCGCCAAATCAAATGAGGGCTCCAACCCTGTCATTGCCGAGGATGAGACAAGTGAGCCGGTAGATGCTGCTAACGGTTCGCAACGCGAAAAACATCAGCCTTTGAGGGATACATCTGGGAATAGGATGCCCACGAAAACTGCGTTCCCGGCTAAATCCAGCAATCCGAACCAGGAGGACAGGCTGCCCTTGGCCTCAAGCAATGATCAAAGTTCACAAACCCTATTAACCTCAGAACAGATCGAGGAGGCTCTTCGCGCTAAGAGCGCTGTTCCGGTAGCATTCCCGGAGGTTAAGGGGACACCCGATATCACTGCACGTCCCCTGACTCCCTTGGCGCCGGCGGAAGCAAGTCAAGGCAGCAAACTGTCTGAGACTCAAGCTGAACCCTTGCAGCCAATGACATCCAATCCGTCCCCTATCAAGCGGCCGTCAAATGCGTATAATCAATGGACTGCCGCCAGTATGGCACCGCATCCACCTCTCCCGCCCGATCACAAAGCAGCGATCGCCAAGGCTGGAGGCCGAGTGGCGTCGCCTACACGCGGAGAATCCGCCTCTAACCAGGGGCCGACAATCATGGGACCACCTGCACTACCTGCGTCAGCAATGAGACGTCCAAAAACACCGGCCGACTCTATTCGCTCCCCAACTCGCGAGAGCGACGCACCACGCACGTCCAACGTCAGTCGAGGGCACCGTGGGACCATCACGTCTCAACTGTCTCATCGATCATCTGTGTCTTCGTTTGCCTCTGAGATAGATGAGCGTTTCAACATGCAACCCAACGCTCACGCCGGACCTCATGGATTCGGTACAGACCCAAGGATCATCCAGGCTATAACCCAGACCATGATCGGCGAGTTCTTGTGGAAGTACACACGCAAAGCTGGTCGAGCTGAAATGTCGGAGACGCGCCACCTGCGGTATTTCTGGGTGCACCCATATACCAAAACTTTATACTGGTCCGATAAAGACCCACAGACGGCAGGTCGGAATGAATTGAAGGCCAAGAGTGTCCTGATCCAGAGTGTCCAAGTCGTCCCTGATGATAATCCCATGCCACCGGGTCTACATCGAAAAAGTCTCGAGGTCATCACTCCAGGTCGTCGAGTGCGGTTTACGGCAACCACTGGCCAAAGACACGAGACGTGGTTCAACGCTCTCAACTACCTGCTACTCCGCGGCGACGACGTGAACTCTGGAACATACACCACTGGCGGAGACCACGTTACAGGAGAGGATGTGGACGAATTCAATGTCAATGCCGGAGGATATGGTGCCACGCTAGCCCCGACCGGCAGCCGGATGAGTTTGTCAAGTTATAATTCCCGAACCACCCGTGGAACCAGCTCTAATCGAGCTTCCGCAGCTCAACGGCAACCGGCAGCCGCCACGGCGGGCATTGCTAACACGAGCGCCACCCGAGTGGTTCCTCAAGATTCGACCGCATCTCGTACTGCCCCCAATTCAACAGTCAGGAGAAGCCGGGCCGAGCATTCCCGCCAAGGTTCCGACCAAGAGCGCACAGTCCGAGCGAGTAGTGTCAGTCGGTTCTCGCGCATGATCGGCTCTGTTACAGGCAGAGGTCGCCGAATGAGTGAGACGGCCAATACTCATAGTCACTCGATGACCGGTGGCCGTAGCGAAGGTGGCAGTATTTACGATGCCAGTGTCGTCAGCGACGGACGTGTTGATTCGGCAGAAGAGCTTCGGCGGGAGATGCTGAGACAAGAAGAAATCGGATTTGGCGGCCTCGAGAATGTGCGAGCTTGTTGTGACGGTAAGCCTGAACCTGGATGAAGTCCCTTCCCCGTTGAGTCAAGTCTATTGGCATAAGCCGAAAGTTTTTGTAAAGGTAACTTTTTACTGACCGTGACATTGTTTTTTGTCGTCTCTAGGCAAACATGACGTCTCCACGCTGAGCCATAGTCATCGAAATGCCACAGGGCACGGACATACGCATCGAGCGCTTAGTATGAGCATGAGCTTGCGCGGCACGGCCAGAAGGGGCGGTGGCGGTGGTGGTTTCACTTCGGCCGCAACCACGCCTGCAAGGGCCAATGCAGCAGCAGGTTCTGTTGGCCCTGGCGCGACGCCTACCAGGACAGGTGGTGCGACTGCGGCCACAGCCACGTAAAAAGCTGAGATACTGTACCTAGCTGGGGCTGTGGCCACGCATGCAAGTGGCAGAAGAAAGTACTGCCTATACACGTGCGGTTGCATCTAGGTGAGAATCGGTGGTTTCAAATCCTTGTCAAGACACTGCAAAAGGTGATAGAGACTCTGTCAGTTTGTCAAGGGCGGTACCCTTTCTCTTTGCTTTGTTCGGAATCCGGGTTGAGTAGTGTGTGGTATGTGTGTGGTGCCTTGCTTCTGGGGTTGACAACCGTCTTTGAAGGAATCGGTCTGGGGCGTCCTACTAGTCGTTTTGCAGTTCAGCGTCAAATTTGAGTCAATCATGTCAAGTCGAGATGAAAATAGATCAATGATCAACGGGTTCAGTTCGGGTTTTGGTGGGGTATATTCATCCACTGGTGTTTGCTTCTGTCTTTCTTTCGGCTTGCCCCAAGTCTGCTAGAATAATGGCAAAAGAAAAGATTGTCATGCAAGGTGTTTCTGAGGCACGTTCGGACATGGCACCAAAAAGTGCAGTTTCCACATTCTCACATGTATTCGAAGATGATACTTGTAGTATATAAGTATGTTTATGGCCCAATCAATCCTGGCGCTCAATTCAATTCACATGATGTACACCTTCTCGACCTGGTCCCAAGTGAAACTCTCGCCGGTGGTGGGATCGCGAACCTCGCCCTCCTTCCCGATCTGTAAGTCATGCACGCCGTGTCCGCCATGGCCATCACCGCCCAGCCCGGCCATTGCCAGCTGGCGCTGCAACTCTTCGAGGCGTTGCCGGCCGTAGATGCGGCCGTTGGGCAGGACGACGGGGTCGGGCTCGACGGCGCTCGTGGTATGGTGGGCATAGGGGACGTTGCGGGCCAGGTCGTTGAGTTCTTTACTACAGATGGGACAGAGGGACGAGTTGGTGGCGATGCGGGCATGGCCTGGCGTCGACGAGCTGGCCGGGTTATAGGCGCTGTGACAGGCCGGGGTCTTGAGTGCAGACAGGCCCGCGGACAGGGCGACGTGCAGCAGTGGATGGACGGGGAGTGATAGGAGGGTATGGTGGGTTTCGACAAACAGGTTCGACAGGTGGTGCCAGCGTGACGGGGCAAATAGTGACCGATATGGCTCTGCTTGGGCGCTGGTGTCGTTTGGGTCTTGCGCCAGCAGCCCTGCGGCTTGCATGATGGCCTCCGGGCGGGAAGACGCATGGGGAGTCAGATACTGTTGGGCGTGAACTCTGGCTTCCAGCTTCTTGGCCGTCGTGCCTGCGCGCACCAGTTCAATGTACTGTTGGAGTCGGAGTTCGAATTCCAAATCCGTCGTCTTGTGCGGCGCTGTGATGAGTTTCTTGAGCGAGTTCCTGTTCTCGTTTGTCCATGCCAATGCGTCTTTCGTCTCGCCCCGAGCTAGTGATGAGGCAATCTTGTGGCACGTCACGAAGGTGTCGAGATCGATTAGGTGAGAGATCTGTTTCGTCTCCGCCAAGGACGAGGCCGTCCTGGAATAACCCGATCGCAGGAGGTAGTCGACCACCAGCCGGTCTAGTCGAGTTCGAGCCCATTGGTCGTACTTGACGTCGGCCAGCGATGGGATCTGGTATAACTCTTGTAGGTGGCGTATTCGCTTTGCCGAGTGTTCGTGCAGCGTCTCTTCCTCGGCGTGTAGTTTCTGCAGTTTGCGCTTGAATGTTTGCATCCTTTGGATCATGGCATCGAGTGACGCCAGCGTCTGGTCCGGCGTCTGCGACGAGTTGAGCGCCGCGTTCGCCGTGTCTTTCAGCGCCGGGAGGATGTTGTCTCGTTCTCGTTCCACGTACCGTTGCGTGTTTCGGAAGTTTCGTTTGACGAGTTCATGTGGTAGTCGGAGGAGAGGTTGGTCCTGTAGAGAGAGGCTTTTGTTAGTCGTGTGTCACATCGCCAGTCGTGGGGATGAATCATGCGTACTAGGAGGACATGGCTGTCTGGATTCAGTTTCGTGGCCGAGAGATCAACCGCCATGCTGAAGTAACAGAGAGGGGACGTCGCCTTGAGGAATCCTGGGACTGTCCCTGAACCAACTAGGACGACGGTGATGGGCGCTGGAGGTCGATCGTGTGCGTGGAGCGGTGTAATGCAAGTTGGGCTGAAGTCGAGTTATGTAAGAGTGAGTGAGTGGCAGATGATGCGCCGGAGGCGGCGGGAGACTTCAAGTTGCGGGGTGTAAATTCGTGGACGTGTAGATTGGATGCGTAAATCATGTGTACACCATATGACACAGTACCTGAATACCTAGGACCGTAGCCAGATACATAGGTAGATCAAGAATACACCTTCAGGGCATTCTATACTCATGTACACTGACTACTGGAGTACTAGTATTGCTAATCCAAATGCCCCTGCCACTGTACAGTACATAGCAGGCCAACCGTTCAAGTTGCCTCCTCCATCCCTCCCTCAGCCGACCAGCGAATATCCCAAGTCCTTGCCGCTGCCCATCTCGACCAGCCTCTTCCTCATGGCCTCTGCTCGCTCCCCTTTGCGACCCTCGAGCTCAAATTGTGCCTGGTCCACCCATTCGCCAACCGCATGTTGCAGAACCTGTCGTGCGCGCTCGTTCCCATAGCCCGCCAGCCCAACGGATCCGTGCAGGGTCATACGGCCAAACTCGCTCGTTGCATCAATGCCCTTGTAGCTGCCACGGTGCAGGATGTTACTATCGTAAAAGACAGCATCTCCCGGTCGAAGCTCCACCACGACTTGTCCGGGCAGATGTGGCTCGTATGGGTCGGCCGTCCGTTCTGTCTCTGTCCTGATGCGTCGATGGCTACCCGGCACGACGATGAGCGAGGAATCGTCAAAAAGAGCAATATTGTATTGGGCATGCAGCTGATGGCCTTTGGGACTTTTCTCCTCGAGCAGCCTCTCTTCCTCCTCGGGCGTTACATCTGGACGAACGTCGTCTCGATGCCAGGAAAGTTCGAAGTCCCGCTGTTCCCCTGGGCTCACCAACAGATTGAACAGTTCCATGACTAGCTTCTCATCCGCGTCCGGGTCATCTTTCAAACCCAGCAATTCCTTCACCACAGACAGCACCTCGTCGGAAAAGTACAATTCGGCAAAAGTGTCTCGCACATTCATGTCGGGGTGGAGAAGATGCTGGACGCCCCAGATATTGTCTCCCGGCTGCCACTCGTGCCATGGCGGATACTGCTTGGGAACTGTCCGCACGTAGGGCCACTTGCCTTGCCGCGCCCGGTCGGCAGTGTACTTGGAACAGGCTTTGAGCGCCAGCAGAAGCTGGGGTGTGATGAGATTAGGGAGCTTCACAAACCCATCCCTGCGGAGTGCGTCGAGGTAAGGGGTCGACGACATGGTATGTTTCTCCGGGTTGACCGATTTATACGCCGCATACCAAGATGAAGATTCCAATGGGTGCGTTCATATTTACAATCTGTGCCAGACTGCAACCTCGGCCACTCGCCAGCCTACCACATCTCGAGTGGACACCTTGCGAGACCGACAATCCCACTCGAATTCTGGGATTTCGGTTGCGATGCGGGGGATCGCCCGAGTCCGCTGTCATTTGCCAGCCCATCAGCACCTTTCGCATGGCAGACAACAGAGGTACGTCGATTTATTTATCAGCCACCCGGACTGGTAGAGAGAACATACGATGTGAAAGCTCCCTATCTACCTTGGGCAACTCTGCGACCTGGACACTGGCGTAAGTGGTAGTGGTAAGGCCTCCCTAGCCCGTCCCTGCCGAGCCGTGAGCACTTGAGGCTCAGCGGGCGCCCGATTCCTGCAAGGCTCGCTGTCCAGCAGATACAACGAGAAACCCGGTATTTCACCATACCTTCCAGCCAATGTGATATCTTACGTAGGTATGGTACCGTCCGGTAGTAGGGCGCCAATGCACACTTCCTGTGATTTGCATCAACAACTCAAAGCCCTGCACTGGCAAGGTACAGTACCCGCATCGATGTCGATGTCATTACAACTCTCGGCAGCCTTTGACGAAACCGCAGCGAATACAGTGTACCTAGACACCTAGACTACAACACTCAAATGCCTCTGCTATCACCGCAGTAAGGATTTGACATCATCGCAGGGAAAGCGGTTGTTTTTGTCGAGCTGATATTGTTCCCGCCGTCGGCAATATCAGGCACTGACAGCCTTGACCCATTTGGGGGCGAGTGTACTTCTGCCCGGCTCGAGGCAGCAATGGGTCAACTCCCGCAGGTGCCACTTTGCTCAGACAAACACCATTCCAAGCTCCTACAACTACATTCGAAACCCACCACTTGATGCCTGATAAGATTCCCTGCATGGACCATGAGCCATGAGGTGGGTCCGGCCTACCATCAGTTCAGGAAGCGCGATTCTGCTGGCCACCAACCCCTGTGCTTCCGTCAATCTGTCGTGCGAGCACGCAATCCGGCGACATGGTCTTGGGAGACACCCCGTTCCAGCCGTGAATATCCTTGCCTTCCTGGCTCGAAAGATGATCGCCTTGGTAAGATCGACTCTTTCCACACAGGTCACACTGTACCGAGTTACACGATTTCGAGCCTCAGATATGGAGGCTGGGCTATGTGAAAACCGGTGCAGTCGTCCAGGGTATCTAGTATTCACATGTTTGGTCTCCCCTTCCCCGTCCAAGGTGGAGCTTTAGCACACCCTATCTTCTGTGATTCATTCCACTCTACAGGACTACTGCGTAGCCTTGAGAGGGCCCTATCCCAGCTTTCTCTAGAGAGTGGGTAGCCGTTGAAATATGTGGAGTGGTCGGGACACCAAGATTGCCCCTCGGCTGGATCACATCATCAGGGACGAAGAATAGCCAGTGTTTCGTTGCGTTGCTTTCCAAGGGCGGGCCATGGCAAGACCATTTCTCTTGACATGAAGGCTCGAATCACACGGTGGGTGAAAATTTCTGACAAGCCCGAAAGCAATATATAAAGCACGAAGGGTGCAGACACCTACGCCACTCCCCTTGCTCAGTAACCCAAATTCAAGAGGTGAGGAGACGACAACATCGTGAAGTAGGTTATCCGCAAAAATGCCCGAGAAAGAAGCCGCAGTCGTAGATGAGGTGCCTGCGTCCCCAAGAGTTGAGCGACAAAGTGAGTACACCTCAGCCCCTTTCCTTGCTGTGCCCCGAACAACAAAAAGGACCTGTTTGCTGACCTCGTTATACTTGCCAAAGACATCAAGTGGTACCGTTCAACATTCTACAATGCGCTTATCCTGGGCCTCGCGAACTTTTCGGCGCCGGGCCTCTGGGGTGCCATGAACTCGCTCGGCGCCGCTGGACAGGCAAAACCATACCTCGTGAATGCAGCTAATGCCATGTCATTCTGTCTCATGGTCGTGAGCTGCTATTTTTCCAGCGCGCTGGTCCGTCTCATCGGCATCAAATGGGCATTGATCATCGGGACAATGGGCTATCCGCCATATGCAGCTGGCATGTATACAAACAATCGGTTCGGCAATGAATGGTTCGTGCTGGTTGGCGCTGCCCTCTGCGGCATTTCAGCAGGGATTTTCTGGATGGCAGAGGCTGCAATTGCGCTCGCCTACCCAGAGCCTTACAATCAAGGCAAATTCCTCGGGTTCTGGTTGAGTTTTCGGCTTTCCGGCCAGATCCTGGGAGGTGCCATCAACATCGGCATCAATGCGCACAAGGCCGAAGCAGGCAAGGTCTCCTATTCGGTCTACCTGATCTTCATCGCACTGCAAGCCCTGGGGCCCTTCATTGCCTTCCTCCTCAACCACCCGTCCCAAGTCCAGCGCAGTGACGGCAAGAAAGTCGACCTGTACATTGTCAACCACCCTTGGTCAGAGATCAAGGCGACGACGAAGCTCTTCTTCACCAAAAACTTCCTACTGATCGTGCCGTTCATCGGTCAGGCCGTATACACCGAGGCCGTCATGTTTACCTTCTCGTCCCTCTGGTTCTCGGTACGAGCGCGGGCGTTGGGTTCATTTCTCTCCGGAATCGTTGCCATCACCGCCGGCAATCTCCTCGGTCACTACCTGGATCGGGCACGCGTGTCACTTCGTCTGAGAGCCCGTACATCTTTCTTCATCATCAACATCCTGCAGCTGGGTCTTTGGATCTGGAGCACGATCCTCGTGACCCGCTACCGCCGCACGCATCCAACCTACGACTGGGCCGATGGAACCCACGGCTTCGCGGCAGGCTTCACTCTCTTCCTCCTTCTCGTCCTAGGGTTCCAGCTCAACTATATGTACCTGTACTTTGTCATTGGGCAGCTGACCACTTCGCCCGCGGAAACAGTGAGGTTGGCTGCCCTACTCAGAGGCACCGAGTCGGCGTGGCAAGCTGTCAGTTACGGGCTGAACGCAGTCAAGCTCTTCGCCGAGGTTGGCGGCTTCTATCTGAACTTTGCCTTGTGGGCCATCGCCCTGCTTCCGGCCTGGTTGGTCGTTGGCAAGATCGGCACGCAAAAGCAGGATCAGGAACGTCGAGTCTCCACCGGTGTCTTTGGAGTCCCTGTCGAGGCGACCACTCCTACTCGCACCAGTACTTCTGGTGATGTGCCGTTGGAAAACAATACAGAGTCCGGAGGGGAAGCTGTGAAAGCATGAAATGAAAAAGCATCCCCGAAGTTCTATGGTCAAGTATGTATGTACTTCTAAAAAGCGGACTACTAGACAGAATACTACATATAGAGATGATATTTGATAGAAGCGCTACAAGGCCATCGTACATAGATTAAAATTCTATCAACACAGTTTCGAAAACTAATAGTATTCAATATTATACCCAATACAGTTTCAAATTAGCCTCGAACCGGTTTCGAACCGATTCAGAATTGTCTCCGAACTGGTTTTGGTTTAAGTTAGCTCGATTTCGAACCTATTCTAAGGCTTAATATATATAGGTACGCACACCCTATAGTATTAATATGGTATTAAAACTGTATAATATATATATATAGTATTAGCCTCCTATGAAGGCTTAATCCGGGCTCGATCTAGGCCATTAGATCTATATAGGTGCCCAACCAATATAGATAGGATTAACACATAGTATCAACACTATATTAACATAGTTCCGATATAGGTTCGAAACCGTCTACGGGATCAAATATATATCTTAATACAGTTTTACTACAATTCCACTATAAGTTGAAGTCGATTTAAACCCTATTTGAAATCGGTTCGGATACGGTTCGGAACCGGTTCGGAACCGTTTACGGGTTTAAGCGTATTAAGATTGTATTCGCCCTATTTACTTAAATTCTACGTCTCGAGTATATCTATTAGTTCCTATATATCTACTAGTTCGCGTATATCTTAGATACTCGTTCGAGTAATTTCTATAAACTACTACCCTAATATATAATCTTTCTATAATCGGGGGAAAATTAATACTTAGATTAAGCTTCTAACCTAGAATTAGATCTACTAGTAGTGTAAATCTAGGATTAAAACTAGGTTCGAACTAGGTCTGAACCGGATCGGATTCTAGGTTAAGGCCTTGATCTGTTAACTTTCTTAGATCCGGATCGGTTCTAGATTACGTACATAGTATTAGGCTACTATAATTAATATAAAAAAAAGAGAGAGTATTCGAGTCGTACTATGAGTACTCATTTTCAGCTCTTTTTTAGTTTAAGACTAAGTACTGTTAGAATCTTTCTTTTTTGAGTTATAGATGATAGCGACGTTGTTAATATTCAGGCTACGGCGTCGTATATTGTACTTGTATATAGTAGTATATAGGTGCCCACCCCCTATAGGATCGATATAGTATCGACACCATATTAATATGGGTTCGATACGGTTTTGAAACCGTTTAGGGGATCGAATACGTATTTAATACAGTTCCACCACGATTCGAAACCGATTCGGATACAATTCGGAATCGGTTCAAAACCGGTTCGGAACTGTTTACGAGTTTAAGTGTATTGAGATCGTGTCCGCTTATATCTACTAGTTTAAGTTAATCTACTAGTTCGAGTATATCTACTATATACGCACCGTCTATAATTATTACGCGCGTATACCTTCTATATACTATATAGGAATTAAGCGTCCTATTTTCTACCGAGCGTTCTATTAATCGTTCTACCACGCGTAAGTATACCTAGCCGAGCGTCCTGTCGACCGCCTTGTCGAGCGAGCGGCCTACTCTAGCGTTCTGTCGAACGCACTATTGGACGCACTATTAAATACACTGTTGAACGCACTATTGAGCGAGCCTGCAGTTGGTCTTCTATAGGGGTCCAATCTAGGATTAATCTAGGGTTAGACCTAGTTCCCCGACCTAGTTCAGACCTAGTTACTAAACTAGGTCTAATCCTAGATCGATTCTAGGTCGATTCTTAGGTCGGAGGCTTAATCTATTGATTTTCTCAGATCCGGATCGGATCCGGATCGGATCTAGATCACGTATCAGCTACTATAATAGCAAAAAGAAGAGTGTTCGAAACCTACTAGGAGTACTTCTTTCATTATTCTTGGTTTTCAAGACTACCGTTAGAATTTTTTCTTCTTAAATTATAGGCGATATCGATATCGTTACCACTCGACCACGATACTATGCATAATAGTTCTTTCGATATATAAATCTATAACCTATAAATACCGGTATTACGTAATATAAAAATAAAAAAAATTAGCGATCTCTATAGCGACCCTCTCGTATAATTCTCGAGTAGGATCGGATCAGTATCGGAGTAGGGTCGATATAGCGTCAATATAGGATCGATATAGGATTAATCCTCTATAGGAGGGCATGTATGTAAATAAATAAATCGGCGTCGTGGCAGAGTGGTAACGACGTCGCTATCGCCTAGAATTTCAGAAAGAAAAAATTCTAACGGTACTATGTACTGTAGGTTTCGAACACTCTTCTTTTTGCTATTATAGTAGCTGATACGTGATCTAGATCCGATCCGGATCCGATCCGGATCTGAGAAAATCAATAGATTAAGCCTTTGCAGGTGGCCAGTACTGTAAAGTAGTATTTTCGAGACTTATCCACATGATCTATAATCTATAAATATTACGTA